GCAGGTGGGGAAAAAACAAAACCCATAAATGGCCACAGCATGTCCAAAAGTGGCGACACCCCAATAAGTTGGTCGTGATAAATCAGCCATGAATCACGACACGACAAGGGGATAATTCTCCATGATCATTATCCCATTACATCCCCAAACAATGGTTGGTTTAGCCAATAGTTTCCATTTAAACATTTAGATGATTCGGATATCTTTCGCACATATCATGAAAGAAATCTGGGATGTCTTTAAAGTCCATAAAAACAAATAGTCTCAGTGTCATCCCATTTCGGTTGATGAACATTCATCAAACTCAACTAAAATCCAATGAAATGCCGAATTCCACATGCTGCCTGGTGAAATTCCAAATTCCAACCCCCTTTTTTAACAACAGAAACCCATCCCAAAACCTACCATTTCCGCACCTCGCAGACTCTCCGCCACTCGCAACCCTCCGGGAACCAGCAAAGCCGATCCGGGGTGAGGAGCCGGGCCTAGGGTTGTTGAATGGTGTGTTTTCCGCCACTTTTGTGTACCATTTTGTAATGGGAGAATCAGCTGTAGATGGAGGTTTTAAGTGGAAAATCATCAATGCAGTTTTGAATCGCAAGAATGGGGGGTGGGGCTACCCTGGACGAATTTTCTGGGGATAACTGGATGTGATGGGGATATTGTATGGAAAATACCAACCACAAGGATATCATTGGCAAATCATGAAGATACAATCGGATCAACCAGGAATATCATCAACCACTTTGGGACTGGTGATCTAATCCAGCCAAAAATGATCACAGCACGTAGCCTCCGGCAATTGAAAAAAATCGTTTGCCATGGCATAAAAGATCCGTTGATTCATGATTTAATTACCTGTTGTTTTAATGTTGATTTTTCAGTTTGCAAAACTGGAACAAATGTCCAAAGGGTATATGACGGGAAGTTATAGTATATTGTGCATATATATATATAATTACTGTAGTTCTAGTGTATATAATACTGTGCGGTATGCAAATTACTGGCTGTATTTACTTTCCAATATCTATCTACCTACATATCTATCCATCCCTCTGAAAAACTTACTCAGTGGGTTCGCGCGCGATTTTTGGGTATAGAATGGAGACCCCCTGCGCGCGAACCCAACCATTGACATAGTTGCAGTTTAGACACTTGCTGAGTTACAAATTTCCCATATTTGTTTGTATACCCCATGATTATGGTTGGAGTATCCCATGATACATATATCTGGTTGGTGGTTTCAAGCATCTTGAAAAATATTAGTCAGTTGGGATGATTGTCCCCAATATATTGTGGAAAAATAAAAAAAATGTTCCAAACCACCAACCAATATATGATTAACTTATCCCATGGTTTTGTTCATCCAAGTCCTCTAAGTCAGGGTCCCCAGACCCAGCAGGTGCTACCATCTCCGCCTGAAACTGGGGAGATACCCGGTCGAAAATACGGCATTTAGATAGGGAACATCATGGAAAATGGGAATATGATGGAAAACCATGGAAAACCATGGAAAATGATGGAAAATCATGATGAAGCGGTGGATTTTAGGAAGATAGACATGGACTGTTCATCAGCAATTTTGAGACACCAAAACAATCACTTGGGACGATCATCTCAAATCAGGAAAAACATGGGCGTTGATAGCGGTAAATGGTTGCAATGTGCGAACTGGAAAATCACCATTAAAATCGCAGGCAAATCATCATGTGGGCTATCATGGGTTATCTATACCATAGCTATGATAGAAACCTCTGAGAAGCATTGTTGATCCATGTTGATCCCTTATAATTGGCGAACCACCTCTAATAACCACGGCAATTTCTTACACGATCAGATCTATCAGAGGGTAACAGCGATGATCGAAGGCTCAGCATCGCTCAGCCGCCAACTTTGGGTGAGGAACATCGACCTCACAGCTGGGTCGTTTACCATTGAGGATTTACCATCGGATTTACCAGCGGATTTACCTATGTTTATCTGACATAGACTAACACAACTTAGGAATACTTATGACATAACCAAGATTTATGGGCTCATAATAACTTATAACTCTCTAGAATTTAAGGCCATAGCAACCTCGTCATGTTGCATTCAGGGGCTGTAGTGGTGAACCTAAGAACAACCCCACCCAATTTCGTCAGGAATGGCTGGTACATCTGCTCTCGCAGAACGGTTGCCACGTCACACAAAGCACCAAGTGCCAACCGGAAAAAACAAAAAAAAAAACATATTTTATTAAACCCAGCTACATGTATGAATAAATTATGTATATACATATATATATATATAGACAAACTATACTCCAGCTATAAGTTGATTACACACCATTGAACATCTGTGTCAGTATCAACCATCATCCCATCCCAGGTTTAACCATCACCCTGGGGCCCTGGGATGCCCTGGGTACCGGGACTTGCTCTTGATGGTGACTTCGGATGAAGCGTCGCCCTGGCGACGCTTAACTCGCCCTGGTGAATGGTGGATGGTTCAAAACAGCAATGTGATAAACCCAATATAGTTACCAATCCCAAAATCACCATGAATTGCTGGTACCCATGTGGTAGGTGTGGTATTGGCTTGCCACTACTGAAATCAATACCCAAATGTGCAGAACTGGCTTTCAGGGATGAAATTGGACCTGTTTTCTATGCCTGCAGTGTCTATGCCTACGGTTTTGAAGAGATTTGTGTCCCCATGAAACACGGCAATGTTAAAACTCATCTTCCCTCAGGAAAACATGGTATCCCCAACAAAATGATGGCGAATTTTAGATGAGATCCCCAAAATTCAAAATTCCTATGGTGATTGTCTCCCATTACCCATACCCTCTGGTAATTTAACAGTTCGCCATTGAACCTGGCACATTTAGTTCGTTGATTTACCCATTAAAAACTGGTGATTTTCCAGTTCGCAAACTGTTAATTTACCAGAGGGCAAGTGAAATCACCATTAATCACCATTAATCACCATCATTAACCATCATTAACCATCATTAACCATCATTAACCATCATTAACCATGGTAATATATCGACTTTGCCCTCCCACGGCTCCACCTTTGCCCAAAAGATCGTCGATCCCTCGATACGGCCACCGCTCCAAGTGCCTCAAACAACGGCCTCACACAAGGAAACTTGTAATTATGATTTTGCTGTATATATATATATACATAACCTGAAATAAGGCCATTTGGGGATGATTCCTCTTATTAACCATGATTCCAGTGAGGTCGCAGTGAGGTCGTTATAATTTACCCATATATATATACACATACATATGATTATGGTTCTAATACGATTCTAATACGATTCTAATTCTAATATGATATTTTACTAGTAAAACGAGTGGGACAATGATGTAAATATTCTTATATAATCTAGTTTTAATAGTAAGAGTGGGATTCAAAAAAAACTTTGTTGATTCATGAGTGATTCCCTTGGGATTTCACCAACATATCGGAATGTAGTAATATTATAATCACATTCATCGTGGTTCCCGAGAAATCATAAGATTTAATCAACAAAAAATCAACAATATTTGTGTTATGACATGTTGATGGCTAGAATCCCTACAGTACCCAATGTATTTTGTTGTTTCGGGGTTGTAAGCGCCACTATCGTTTGTTATATATGTGTGTTTGCAATTATTTCTTTTGGGTCGATTTTTTGTTGACGGTGCTAGTAGTGTTTCTGTGGTGTTCTTGTTACATGGTGTTTCTATATACACATGTCGATATCACACTTGGTAGTCATAGGTTTATTATAACTATATTGTGGTTACTCCACTCTTCACATTTCAAGATCTCGTTCCCACTTGTGGCGATTGGGTCGACTGGCACTGTTGCTGCTTCAACTTCACAGCTGGTCAAACCCAATCATTTTACAAACCTCCACGTTTTCTCTTCAAAACCCAACTTTCATTCTTTTAGTGGGTAAAATCAGTACAACTGATTAGGATGGCGGAATCCCACATTTTGCTTGTTGCCTTTGGTTTCTCAAGAGTCCGTGCTGCCTTTGGTTTCTCAAGATATGTTGTGCCCCATGCTCTTCGCTTTTCCCCGCGGGCAAATCCAGATCTTGTTTGTTCAATTTTCAGTTCTTTGTCGGGCCCAAAACCCAGTTTCATTGCTTCAACCGGTCGTTAAAAGTCCGCATGTTGATTGAACCACATTTTGCTGGTCAAAACATGTTGTTGTTCAATGTTGCTCATCCATGTTCCTGATATTTTCTCATTGAAACCACCAATTTCTTTGGGGAAGATGTTGGCCGTGAAAGAACGGCCCCAGGCCTTGAAAGATTTGACTTTCCCCGCTGGAGGTGGACAGATCGGTAGGCAGGAGCTGGGCCAAAACCTGCTGGAAGTCACCCCAAATTGGGAATTTATCTGGGGATAATGTTAATTGGGATATGTGACAAATATATCCACAAAAAAGTGGTGCTTAAATGTGACCAATCTAGGTTTTAACCACCACAAGGTGGTATGTGACAGATCAATGACTGGGATAACTGATGTTTGGGACGTTTGAAAAGGATTTATGATATGATTAAAAGGACATCATGTGCCGGAGCAAAAATGAGAAACCACGCGGCAACTGGGATGCATCCATACGGGAAGCAACTGAGAAATGGGTTTAACCCTGTGATGGACATCCCTTGAGATCAACTTGTGGCATTTTGGCATCAAATACGTCGAAGATCCCGCCGCGAGATGTGATTGGAGATGTGGCTTGGTGGTTGGCTTGATCCATTTAGTTAGTCAGTTTGCAAGCAAAAAAATCATGTTGACCGGACTATTTTCAAGGGTGAAAAACGTCAAGTTTCATCCCCCCAAAATGTTGTTGATTGTTTTTGATTGAACATATAATGATGCGTTTCCCAAATCAAATGCTAATATGATTCTCAAAATCATCACAAACACATGAATCAAGGACTCATTTCAAACACATTTTTCAAACTTCAAAATCCTTTTTCGAAATGACTAAGATCTAACTACATCTGAATCCCCCGACGCATTTTGGTGGGATCTTTGCCGCAAATCCATGGGCAAACTCGCCCGTCCGTCGAATGTGAACCTCTGTGGCCAGTTCGCGGATCTCAAGCTCCTGGCTTTCCATTTTTGGGAAAGGATGGTTGCAACATAGATGTGGAAATAAATATACCGCATGAATTGTAAATCGTATTTATACTATACATACTAAAAATAATAAACATACTATATACTATGCATAAACTATATATATAGAGTATATATATAGTATATATATATAGTATCGATATATATATATAGTATCTATATATATAGGATATCTATCTATCTATCTATATATATATAGATACTATATATATATATACATAGTATGTCTATATATATATATAGATAGATACTATATATATATATACTACATATATATACTATATATTTACTATATATAGATATATTATACTATATATACTAGATACGCTAGGTACGCTAGACATACTATATACACTATACATATACTGTATATACTGTAAACACCAAACATACTGTACATATTAATTATATATATATACAAACATTCTACATAATACTATATACACACACACACTATAGATATATATTATATATAAATATACTAAATAAATATATATATATTGTGAAATCACCAGTTGATCCATTCGATTGTCAGTTGGGGGTCTCCACAGCAGCCTTTCATGTGCTGTCAATACATGGCTCAAGGGACCAAGACGCAGGAACCAGGAGATAGAAAACAGGGAGCAATTCGGGCGTGTGGTGTGGTTGGGAAACTGCATCCATTCTCGGAGAGGACTCCTTTTGATGATTTTGGTTTTGTCAATTTGATCTACTTTGGAAACATCCATTGGATTTTGCTACCAAGGGAGAAAAAACTCGTCAATGCACTGGTTTTGACGCGCCAAACACATCGGTATTTACGGTGTTTTTGGCTCCGAGAATCTTCAAAAAAAGTGAAAGCACTACCTATTTGCCATTTTTTGGCACTAAAACTGAGAAAAAATGTGATCAACTGGTTACAATATGAACCACAACCACAACAACAACAACAACAACAACAGCAGCAACAGCAACAACAACAGCAGCAACAGCAACAGCAACAGCTGTAAGGAACCACAACAGGAGCCGCAACAGGAACCGCAACAGGAACCACAACAGGAACCACAACAGGAACCGCAACAGGAACCACAACAGGAACCACAACAGGAACCACAACAGGAACCACAAACGGACCACTTGGGGCATCGCCGGCCTGCGAAGCATTACTATATATATATATAGATATACATACATAGATACAGTGTATAATATATGTAGTATATAGGTATATTGTATATTGTATATAGGTATTTTTATAGTAAATATAGAGTGTATGTATACATACACACATATATATATATATGTGTACACCCTACAGTCTATCTAAACGTTCCTTGACTTTGATGCTTACATGGAATAATTGTTAAGATACACTAATGTCTGGCAAAATGCCTCAAACTATACACATCCTGCATTTGGCTCACCTAAAGATACCGAAAAACAACAGATAGATAGGAACTGTGGTGCACAGGTTGCCGCTGATCTGCAGTTTGGATAGGAACGGTCACTGCTGAAATCTCTTTGGCCATAGCCATTTTCCCCTATTGGTAGGGTTGATAAACGAATCATAGATGGTTAATGCGCCCTTAATGCGGTTTTACAATAGATGCTTCTGCATCCATTGGTTCTGGTTGCTGAAAATCCCAATCAAAAGTGCCTGCGGCTGCTGCTGGTTGACAACCCCGATCCATAAACCCTTCTGAGTCCCATTCCCCTGCTATAAGATACCCTCTGTATTTGGGGTATCTAATAATATCAATCGTCTCCAGTTCATCCCCATTTCTGATGATTAATATCGATTGAGATCCACAATCCTTCATTTTGGCTGACGACTCCCCCCCATCTCAGAACTGGTTGATCATCCTGGTGATCCTAATTGTCCCATTTGTGGGGCAAATTCACCTCACAAAGACGAAGCAATTGATATGACTAAGTTCCTGTTGTTTAAGGTCATAATCCCATTTTATCATATCTTATCTATCTCTAAAAATCTATGATTTTAATGGTTAAATTATGTTAAATTGATGTATCCCCCAAAACAGGAACCAGTCCGGAGGTCCCCTGACGTCTCCGGATGGTTCAGCGCTTGTGCTGCCAGCTCTAGGCTCTGATGCTGCCCGCCTCGGGATTTCATCGAGCAATTGTTTATCGCCATGCTAGTAGGGATTGAACTAACCAAAGTACGGACTTCAACATCCTGGATTTTAGGGATGTTTGATTTTAGGGGTTAAAGAAGATCGTTAAGAATGGGAGTCACTGTAACTACTGTAACAATGGATTCTTTTTGTTGCTAAAGTAATGGATGCTCACGGGCAATGAGCAGAAGTGAGGATGACCATCATATTTCGACTCGCCCATCCATCATGGGATTTTCGGTGCCGTATTTTTGGGATACCAATACACTGAATGCTCCTTATTTTGTCTTTTTCTACAGTTTAGCCCCCATCCCTGGCTATAGCCTCCACGTTGCAGCTCCAATGCTTCGGGAAAAATCCCATGTGGCCATGAATGAAACACGTGTTTATAAAAATAGGCTCTGTCCCCCGGATGAACTACCCCCCCGGGAAGCATCCCCACATTTGATGGTATCGAAAAACTTGGTATATGTCAAATGAATCTGCGCCTCCAAATCCAAGTTAACATTCCTTTTTAAACCATCTCTATACGGATGTGTCCAAAAATGGGTCTGATATCGTTGGCCAAACATCCTGTTCCCTATTCCAAAACATGTTGTTTTGATGGTATACCCTATTGCTGGACAAACCCGTATGGGATTGTCATTTCCATTTCTGTTGATTATCCATATCTAAACATATCTAAACATAAACCATCCGTTTGGGTTTGTTCAATCCCCATTGCTACGCTGATGCTCAATAAACCCATGAAATCTGTATAAAATCTCTATGTTTGATGTTCAACCCTTTGGTTTCCTTGAATTCAAATCGAACCGGCCAAACATGATGGATAAATCCACCATTTCTTCGATCAAGGCGCTGATGGAGATGAGTGGCAAAGCCTTCAAGGCTGCCCTACTGGCCTGCGATGGCCAAGATGTGGGTTTCAACTAACATCAACTAACCATAAATTATGGTGGTATCCGATAGGATATTCTGGTATACTAGGATAATCTTATATATTATCTCAGTTTTTGAAGGTTGTACTGCATCATGGATGGGAATTTCACTGAACATGATTCCATCACGGAGATGATTGAGGAGGTTGTATCACCAAACTATTGATTGTCACCTTCCCGATGAACAAAATTGATGGTTTTTGGCCGGTTAAATCTCTGGTGTTAAACTGGTGAAAATTTGGGTTCCAAACCAACATGGCGCAATTGTCTGAACAAAATCCCCTTTTTGGCATTAAACCGTCTGAACAAACGCATCCCCAAGTTGCCATGTTTCCGATGGATTTTCCTCTTTTGGGCATCCCGTATCAGTTTCGCGACACGTGTCCCAAAAAAAGTGGGACATCTGCTGCTTTGCCCCGTTCAAAGGAATGCTAGATGCAGCAAAAACTAAGCAACAATATTTTTTTAATTCAACTTTCACACTCAATCATGTACCGAAACACCCACCACGAAATTCATCCTACCCTGCACTTCGCCGTCCCAACCATTGGGATACACCAACTGATTTGCCACACCATGCCGCCAAATGCACAGCCCCGTGCAAAAACAAATACGAAAGTGTTTGAACATTTGGGATAACCAAACATAACCAAACCACGTCCCCAGATAACAACATGATTTTTGCATCTTTGTGCAGTGGCTGTGTTTGGAGCGAATCAAATCAATCCACGCGGAACCAAATTTGCCCCTCGTGCCTGGATGTGCTCTGCGTGAATGCACCCGCCAATGAGATCAATCCCCTGCAAAAGCAACGGCCGGAAATATCAAGTTCTGAGTTTTCATCTTCAAGTTGACGTGCTGACACAATTTGCAGCGAATACTTGGTGCCCAAACCCAGAAGGGCGCAAGTTTCAAACGACATGACCGCTAAAAACTTGGAGTTTGACATGGTGGTCTGTGGTCAGTAGTGTGTTCAAAAGGGGTCTGAGCCCCGCGCTTCAAAATTAATGCGGAAGCAGTGGCAAACTAAAACCAAAACACTCCCAAACCAGGCCTCAACGTCGCCTCTGCAGCACCACTTGGCAATGGCCAGGCATGCGCCCTGATGCAGGCTCCGCGCAGGGTGGGGACAATGGGTGATCAAGTTTGGGCGTGTATAGCGGTTTCTAGGCAAATGATCGTCATGGCACCTGACACGGGACGCCAAAACTGATCATGTTTTTTCTGAAGTCAAGAAGGACAACGGTCAAGCCATTTATCGGAAACTAAACCCGTTATTCGGAAATCAAAGCCCGTTAATCGGAAACCAAAACCCGTGAATCGGAAACTAAAAACCAGGAATCGGAAACCAAAGGAATCAGAAACTAAACCCTTTAATCGGAAACCAAAAACCCCCTACATCGGCCACCGCCGCTGAATCGGAAACTAAACCAGCTGAATCGGAAACTATTGAAGCACTTCACCGGCGGATTATGCGGAATGAATTGCATGGAGGGGCTTTTACTGTGGGTGCCAGATTTGATCCCTCGTGGAGATAACTTGAAGGTAACATCCCATTCAACAAACTGTTCTGGAGGGGTGGCGGATTTGATCACTTAAGAACATAAGTTCAAAAAAAGTTCAAAAAACGATACCCCATGAAACATATTACTCAGAGGGGTGGCGGAGTTGATCCCTTATAGTATTTTTGGTTTCTGTTTCGTGGCGTTTTTGGTTTCTGATTCGGGGCTTTTGGTTTCTGATTCGCGGATTTTGGTTTCTGATTCTCAGTTTCTGGTTCGCGGGTTTTTGTGTCGGATTCGTGTGTTTTAGTTTCTGATGCGCATGTATTTAAATTTCTGATTCGCGGATTTTTGGTTTCTGATTCATGGGTTTTAGTTTCCGATCCGCGGGTTTTAGTTTCTGAGTCTTTGTTGCTGATTTGCGGTTAGTTTCTGATTCGAGGTTTGTTCAAGGACACGCGTGCAGCAGAGAAAACAATCGTGAAAGGCTCTCTCTCTCCATAGATGTTTGTGCAAAGACAGAACTTCTCGTGCACCCTTACGTCGAAACCATTTGCATGCCAGTTAGCTCTGTCTATGGTCTGTTAGAGCCCTAGGCCAACTACTTTGCCATCTATCCCGGCAATGGGCGCTGGATGCGCTTGGGGCTTTGGGCGGCGGCACCTTTGTATCTCAATTCAATAAATCACGCGAACATACGCTGATTACGCTACCTAATGTTTAGTTTAGCGTTTACCACTTGTGGGCCATGCACTACCCATCAATATGTTGAAAATGGGCCAAGAACAAGGTCTCAAGACTTGAATCCATCGTAGATGGTTCCGCAATTTGCTACCTACCAGTCAGAATGTAATTTTACAACCCCTTTTATCTGGCACAGAACCCTTGTCAGGGATGTTCACGTTCCCAACATCTTGTAATTTCATGCGTCATTCTAACCTGCGTCTCAGAAAATCAAATGGGCCCTTCAAAATTGTGTGGCCCTGGTGAATGGAAGTAACCTCCTGGAAAAGCAAGACTGATGAAACTCAGACATTTGAACATTTATCACAGCAGGTAGAAATCATAGATTGTTTTCATTCTGAGTTCCCATCTTCGGTATAAAGATCTTGCAATCGGTGGGTTGACCCACCGTCCTGCCAAATCCCAAGTTGTTTCTTCTTCGATGATAGCTGGGCTCGGATTTCTTTGCCTTCTAAAAAAAAGTCATCCACGTTCGCATTGACTCCCATTCGAGTCTTGTGGGATGGTGTCATCGTCACTTACCCATCGATGAAACCCAGATAAATCTGGCTACCTCCCAGTAAGATAGACAAGTGCCTATTGTGCCTATTCAAGGGCTAGATTTTTTTTTGAATCAAATAGAACACATCGCACAACGGCGTTGAAGCCCTCTGGGATAAGCCTGCGATCCCGATGTTCTGACGCTTCCGCGCCCAAGGGTTGAAACCAGAACATTCGAAGAAAAACGTGGCACTATAAAAACACCAGAATGTTGCTCATATTGAAAATGGAGCACGCCTTAAAGGCTTAATTTGAGGGTTTGTCTGAAAATATAGAGTATCCCTCATTTGAGATGGTTTGGAAACTCATTTTCCCCATGAAAATGACCATTTTTTCATGGCCACTTCCGGTGGCATTCCCATTGAAACAAACACACCGCTGTTGCGCGCCCTCTGGGTTGATAGCAGTCGTATGTTTGTTGATGAACTCGAAAAAAGTCCGGTGTGTCTTCTTGAAAACCTCTGTTTTCTTCATAATTGAACAAAATCTCCCCTTTTTTGGTCGCATTGATCAATATGATCGGCCCTAAGTATTCCATGTTATCCCCCACAATATCTGGATGTTCCCAGGATCCACGGACCACCTCCATGAGGTTCTCTCGCTGTGGCGGTGGCCGATGGTTGCGACACAGCTGAGCGAGGCATGGCAGCACCTGATCCAAGAAACGAGATTCGGTGGAAAAAATTGGGGATCCAACTGGGGATATTTCAGAAAATCTGGTGATATATGGGGATATATATGGGGAAATGTGGATATGTGGATATGTATGCATGTATGCATGTATGCATGTATGCATGTATGCATGCATGCATGCATGCATGTATGCATGTATGCATGCATGCATGTATGCATGTATGCATGTATGCATGCATGTATGTATGCATGCATGTATGCATGTATGCATGTATGCATGTATGCATGTATGCATGTATGCATGTATGCATGTATGTATGTATGTGTGTATGTGTGTATGTATGTATGTATGTATATATATATGTTTGTATGTATGTATGTATGTATGTATGTATGTATGTATGTATGTATGTATGTATGTATGTATGTATGTATGTATGTATGTATGTATGTATGTATGTATTATGTATGTATGTATGTATGTATGTATGTATGTATGTATGTATGTATGTATGTATGTATGTATGTATGTATGTATGTATGTATGTATGTATGTATGTATGTATGTATGTATGTATGTATGTCTTATGTATGTATGTATGTATGTATGTATGTATGTATGTATGTATGTATGTATGTATGTATGTATGTATGTATGTATGTATGTATGTATGTATGTATGTATGTATGTATGTATGTATATGAATATAAGAGGGTAATAATCTGGTGATAGGTGGCAGGTACGTTTTCGTTTGCCCTTACTAAACCAGTACTTTTAGGGAATCTGTGGGGGGCTTGGTTATCTATACAGAATGAATATTGTATGGGCGGTATAAAATCTGGTGATAATATGGAGATAGCACATGACAAACACCTGGTTGCTCTGACTAGGGGATTTGATGGGGATTTTTTCTGTGGGTATCATGGGGGTCTGATGGGGATTTTTTTGATTTTAAAGGGGGTATAAAACCACAATGGGGAAATAGTGGGATAACCCCCCCAACAATGGCCACTTTGGCCATGAAGATCAGCAAAAAAAACTTGGGACATAGCCAGGGAGTGTGAAGATAAAACCCTAGCGCTCAAGATTAAGATGGTGATATATCCCATGTATATACAATATATGTATAGATAATTATATGTATATTTATATATAATATATATATATATATTATATCCCATATTTGTTGATTAATCCCCCCATATTGATGGTTTAGAAACCACCACCCACATGGCGCAGCCCTTTGGCCAAACGCGCCTTGTGGTTCTGCCGGTCTGCCAAGGAAGGCAGTGCCTCAAGGCAAAGGTGGGTGATTTGTTCTTTACCTCCAGGGGATGTAATGAGATATCCTTGGGTATAATCAGAACGAACGGGATATCATGGAATATCATTGGAATAGCATTGGATATAATGGAATGCAATGGGAGTTAATGGGATATCATGAATATAGTGGAATGTAACATGTTGTTTTCCAGTAACGGTGTGTCTGTGTCTTTCACCTCTTCCAAGTGATGAATACGATTCACATGCATTCCAGTAGAGTCTCAACTAATTCACAGACACAACGGTAAAACGTTGCCAATTTACCCAAATTCACTATTTGGGGAATATCAGCAAGCATGTCCAAACAAAGGGTTTGTAAGTAGTTGGGTTCACCACATGAACAATCCACCATGCCAAAACGCCTAAGTTCGAGGTTGAACAAATGCGCATGGATGGGGTTGGATGTATCATTCACCCTTGCAAGATCCGTGCAAGATCACCAAGAAATGGTTCACACCAACCCTCGGACTAGTAGACGTTCCTCCAAAATGGTGATACTTCGCTACTAAAGTGGTACCCCTCCAGCCAAACAGCCCGGTGCTATTTTGTTAATCCAGGGTTTACATTAATAATAAATCAAAATCACGTAGGTGACAAAACACAATGTATTTACTGTATTTCCTGCGCCTTGGATACTCCAATCTTTCATGGGCCGGGATCAAACCCTCGCCATATCCAGTTAATTCGCTACATTCCAATCTTCACTTCATCATGTTACATCCCATGTCTCCGTTCTTGAGACAAAGTATACGACATATTCCTACTTCATTTGGTCGAACCCCAACCCCAGTGCCGTTTATTCTTTAACATCTTTAATACCCTTCGGTAATTCAACTTTATAGCTGGCAAAATCATGTACAAATGACTATAAGTGGGGGATTTTCAAGCCAGCCATGTTTGATTTCCGCCTCCGCAGCGGCCAAACGGACGTGAAAGTCCACATCTTCCAAGCGTTCCAACACCTGTCAGTCGTTGAAGTAGGAGTTTGGGGGGGCAGGTGCCCAATATATGAGGAGAAAACCCAGAAAGATGGGACATACCAAGGAAACAAGAAGGAAAAAACAAGAACAAACTGGGTTTTAGTCATAAATTCCACTCATACGGTTAAAAGACAAGCAAACCTGCAAACATTTTGGCACTCGAGTTTCTAACCGTCTGTATGTATGTATGTATGTATGCATGGATGTATGTATGTATGCATGCATGTATGTATGTATGTATGTATGTATGTATGTATGTATGTATGTATGTCTATATGTCGATGTCTATATATATATATACACGTAAATATGTATGTATATATATATATGTACGTAAATATGTATGTATATATATACGTATATATGTATGTATATATATATACGTATATATGTATATGTATATATATATATATATATTTATACTTGTATATATATATATATGTATATGTATACGTATATATGTATATGTATATAGGCTCAAGGCTAGGGGTTCCCCGGGGCTTCCAGGAACCCTCAGTCTTGTCATGTACTATAAACGTTGTTGTGGTATAGAGATGGGGGGGTGGAGTTTATCCGCGCTGACATGGAAACTTGGACTGATTGAACAATTTCAGAGAAGAGCATAAAATATAAAACAGTGTAAAACACAGTGTGAAAACAACATTTTCAATATCCACACAAGTAAAATGCCTTTGTGGACGTGAACATGAAAAAGGTGTCATGTTCAGTTCGTCCATGGTTCTCCAGTGAATTATGACATTTTCTAGTTATCAACAAAACGACCAAAAATGCATGAAACCGCACTTCCAATGGTTAGCATGTTGCACACATGTTTGGCCATCCATCGAAGATGAAAATTTCTCATTTTTCTGCGCGGACAAACGTCAAGTTTATCCGCGCTGAAATTGCAACTTGCGCTGATCGAACAATTTCAGAACAGCATAAAACACTGCAAATACAGTGTAAAAATAACATTTTCCATATCCATACAAGTAAAATGCCTTTGTGGACGTGAACATGAAAAAGGTGTCATGTTCATTTCGTCCATGGTTCTCCAGTGAATTATGACGTTTTCTAGTTATCAACAAAACGACCAAAAACGCATGAAACCGCAATTCCAATGGTTAGAATGTTGCACGCATGTTTGGCCATCCATCGAAGATGTAAATTTCTCTTTTTTCTGCGCGGACAAACGTCAACTTGCGCTGATCGAACAATTTCAGAGAAGAGCATAAAACACTGTAAAATACAGTGTAAAAACAACATTTTCCATATCCATACAAATAAAATGCAATTGGCTTCCGGGGAACCCTCAGCCTTCACCCTGTATATATATATATATACGTATATATACATATATATATATACGTATATATATATATACATACGTATACATATAAATATATATATATACATACACATACACATATACATATACATATACACATACATATACATACACATATACATATACACATACATATACATATACATATGTACTTACATGTATTTGCATGTATTTGCATGTATTTGCATGTTTTTGCATGTATGTATGTATGTATGTATCTATCTATCTATCTCCCTATCTATCTATCTATCTGTCTGTCTGTCTGTCTATCTATCTATCTATCTATCTATCTGTCTATCTGTCCATCTGTCCATCTATCTATCTATCTATCTGTCTGTCTGTCTATCTATCTGTCTGTCTATCTATCTATCTATCTATCTACGTATCTATGTATCTATGTATCTATGTACCTATGTATCTATGTATTTATGTATCTATCTAACTATGTATCTACGTATCTATGTATCTATGTATCTATGTACCTATGTATCTATGTATTTATGTATCTATCTAACTATGTATCTATGTATCTATGTGTCTATGTATACATTAATATGTATACATGCAAATATTAATATGTATACATGTATATATATATATATATTGATATGTATACATGTATATATTAACATGTTTACATGTATATATGCATTTATGTATACGTATTTACATAATATATATATATATACACGTATATATATATATATGTATTTGTATATGTATCTACATATAATGTATAAATATAAATAAATAAATAAATATATATATTGGAACACCCAATCGCCGGGGTTTCAAAATCGCAACACATTGTAGGCTTTCAAACAGAATCACCAGGGCTGTCTGCATCGGCACTGGGAAACCTTACGGCTTTTAGCAGGTCCTAGATTTGAGACACCAAGATATGATACAGTGGATGGTTGTGAAATCCTGCACCAGTTGATAGGCGGTAAACATCCCATTATTTATAGGGGTTCAACCATCCTTTTGGTGGTGCCGGATTTCTTCCATCCACAGTATGTCTGTCCAATGTGGGGATAAGTCAAAAGTCAAAACCTTAAAAAAAAGTACGGTTCTGCGGTTCTGGTACTCTGTTGGCCATCAAGAAATGAACAAAGTTGAGCAAAATAAACTAGGACACTATGATTGGATGATCATTTACCTCTCTTGGGGTTTGGTGTTGATTTCATATCCATGTGACATGTGTTGTAACGGAATCTGAGCCTTCATCACCACCTGATCCTCGTTTCTCACCTCAGCTGAGATTCGACAAAGGGGGCTGGTAGTTTCAATGGGACCGTGAAAAATGAGGAGAATGTGAGGATTACACGGCAAAATGAGATGTTGAGATGTTCCATTTGAACAGCACCCTGATGGGACTGTCATCCTACGGGAGTCTGAGATCTGCCGTGAAGAGAAAAAACAACAGCTATTCGTCACAAGTTGCTGCACAGCCGTCCATGTCATCAAGTTTTGGATCAGCGAAACTTGCATATGGGTAGATGATCCAGAAATGTGGGCGTCAAAAAAAATGTCACACATGTGCAAATGAGCCTTTCCAATCAATGTGCAAACTCTCCCGTGTATGTGTGCTGCATTCGAGTGTATTCCTGTTAGGTGAACAAAAAGGCCGGCATTGATACGTCCATGAATAATCTTTGCTGTCGGTGTTCATACCAAATGTGTTTGTTCAATAAGACACAATTGGTGCCCGGACGCCACAGTTTGCAAGGCAGCCGGGCGCTTTAGCTCTCACACGTGCCTCGCTGCAACGAGGTTCTCATCACACTGTTGGGGTCCGTCCAAACTCAAAATGGCTCAATGGGTCCTGGTGGGTTCTGCCCGTAAGGAAACGCCGTGATAATCATTGATGCCCGAAAAAATATGGCACATATTTTTCACATTCAAGAACAGCACGCGTTGACGGGTCAAAATCAAATGCAAATCATGGTTTCCAATGCACTCGCATATCCCTGATCCAAAAAAGAGGACGAGTGCCACACCGCTTTGCGATCCAAACTGCAAACTTCAATTTCACACATATGCCCATTCGATTCGGCGAATCTTTGTGCACGTATCTGCCACGATCCTAGGCACTTTTTTTCAATAAAAACCAAGATCACTGTATCCTGATGTCTCAGCCAGACCGCCTTTGCAGACCAAAACGTTCCCCATAATTTCAAATGAGTGGACCATCCTCGAACAAAGGCCCCATTCCCCCCGCCTCTGCATCATTTAAGCGTGCCACAAGAGCCTTCGCCACACGTGGATCGGCGCCTGCGAGGGGATAACATGAATCGTGGCAACATGAGTCGTGGGTATAGCCCTCTCCTAAGCTGAGCAGCTGCAAAATCGCAGGGTGTGGTTGAGGTATCCAATGATCCCAAGAATTGTAGATTGGATTAGTTGATCTGATTTTTTCCAACCATCATAACATATATAGCTTTGGTATGGATTACCTGATCAGGGTCCATGAGGGAAGCGCCCCACATGAACAGTTGCATGCCACTCAAACCGGTTTTCTTTCACACTCCCGCTGGTACCCCAAACCAAGAAACCCAGCATGCCCGGGAGACCCTGAATTTGGTAGAGATTCCCTGGAACCAGTGGAATCAGTCTATTTCTATGAGCAGCTACAGGGGTTCGAACGCTCAAATCATATACCTTGACGACCATAGCATCCCCTCAATGAGCCTCAATGGCTTATAGCCCCATGCACCAGTATGTTTGCTGTATTGATATGACCGCGCACAAACATGCATTATGTGCACGTGCGTGCAATCATTGCTGTGCATGCACTGACAATATTTATAGATCATAGGAGCTAAGTTATGTAAACCATAGCCATTCAGCGTTGCATCCGCCTCCGTCAAAGTGTTGCAATGCACTCAACACGTCAAGTCCTCAAGGGCGAGGTTCGCTATTGGGGGATCCCCATCCACAAAAGCTCTGCTATAAGGTTCAACTGATGGTAAGAATGGTAGAAAATTCTACGGCGAATTTTGATTGCCATAGAAAGTTCGCACGTCCCAGTAAACCTAGTACATATAGCCACCAGCCGGTAGGGTCTGTGTATAAATATATCATGAGCCTGGTGATTGTGCCCATTTGTCCTCTCCACATGGTCGGAATTGGCCAAGACTGTGCAAGAAGTAACCAGGATGATCCAGGATGGAATATGTTTAGATATGTTTAGATGATTTGGATGTGAATAACTTCCCTTCTTTGACGGCATTAAGCTTGACCGTTTCCTTACTGGATGCCTATTGGATAGTTCGATCATGGCATTGTGTAACCCCTGGGATCCCCTGGGCTTCCCTGGCGTGACTCCGCGTTGGCCCTGAGCCAAGGCAGCCACAATTATGGCATCTAACACCAATCGCCACAGGTTCAAAGATGGAACTCGGAATGATGCAGGTTTGAACAAATGAACAAGAAATGTGGATGAGTCTGGCAGTAAACAAACACAGTACATGATGTACATGTGTACATTCATGAAAACCAAAATGGGGAGCTGACAGTTGACAAGGACTAGATTCCATCAAACCATTCAGAAAATCTGTGGATTTGACGATGCCAAAACAACAGGCAACTCAAACAAGAAAAACCTTAGCATATGTTCGAATAGGAGTTTCTGACAAAAATCAAATCCATCCGCGTTTTGAAGATTAAATGTGACAGAATTTTTGGAACTACTACTGAGATCTGGTCATTGACTCCATGTCGTGGTTTATAAGCCACATAAACTAAATCCACAACTGGGGATATGACCCCGATATTTATTTTTACATTTTTTTTGTACACACTACCTGGGGCGCAGTTGGTGTATTGGATATTTTGCCATGGCGTAATAGCTCCCAAAGCTGGGATATCGGGAGATGTTGGAAGATAGTACCATCTGGTTATGACTAACATAGCCATGGAAAATCACCATGTTGAAGAACGGTAAACCATCTATTTCTATGGGCCATCTATAGCATGGCTATGTTAGTCATAACCAGAGGGTTTTTCTTGACATACCCTGGGGTAAACTAGCCGTTGACGAACCGTTAAGGGAAACCCTCTGGGCTGGGGTTTCCCCTAGGGAAATCATCAATGATGAGTGCTTTCCACCAGTCCAGGTGTCCAAACGCTCCAGTTCTGGACAACAGCAGTGGTAACACCACGTCGCAGCTCTGGGGCACGACCTGGTCCGGAGTCTATATTTATAGCAAGCCCAACAAAGTGAGATAGAAATGAAGATATCCTACAGTTTTTTCCAATCCCCGGAAGCCATTTTCATCTCAAACCACTGTCCAGAAATAGACTAGCCACTGATCTATCCCAATGGCTAGTACTGTAAGTGATAGATATAAACCCCATGAATCTCCCAGTAGTTCGATCCCCGTATCCCCCGAAGATCGATCACGTTGGTCGCCATATGTTCCAAAAAGAAAGCCGGACCATAAAATGGAAAAATCTCCATGATTACAATCATTCTAACATGCTGTTCCATCTATCAATCATTCTGAATCATTCTCCATTTGGGTCAATGAATCCTCATTTCCAGGCTTGCTCCCAACATACCAATGGGCTAAACTGGCTACAGAAAATCACCCATAAATCCCCTATTTCAATCTATTTCATCTGTTTCCCTGGTGGGAATCATGTTTTTTCCCCCCCCAAAAAATAGAAAAACCATCCAAATGACATGAAATTCCCATGATCTTCGCTTCAGCTGATAGGCACCTCCTGCAGGGTCCGCAGGGCACAACGCCTCACCGGCGGGTGCTCGTCGCAGAGGCGACGGACCAGCTCCGAGACCACCTCCCAGCGGCTCCGCGGCTCTGGATGGGGGGATCCTGAGGGGGTCCGGCTCATCATGAAACAAATAGGAACACATGATGGGGTGTTCAAAATGCTGAATCACCCATTTTTTTTGATTTTTTGGAATTGTTGGAATATTGATGGCTTTTGATACGCTGGTGCGATATTAGGTGCGATGCATCTAAGCATGAAAAAATGCCAAGTTAACTATCAAACATGGGATCTAATAAGCCAACATTATAATTGTTGACCAATGTCTTCGACAAAAGATATGGCAATGGCCTATGATTCTATCGGGGATCAAGTCATGAAATGGGGATTTAAGCATCAAACATTGGCCAATGGGGATTTAATCAGCCAGAAACTTCGACTCTACGCCTTCATCTGGCAAATCAGAACCGCTGGATTCTGAGGACACCCACATGTTCAAAGAAACCCATACATTACACGCCCTTTTGGGGGAGATCATGGGATAGTACATGATAGATCATGATAGTACCTAACCTCCCCAAGTTGTTCCTCCCAGATGGATCAAATTCAAGGCATAGCCTGTTCCATCCCATGGTGTTGATAACGTTCCTCAACTGTGGCACTTTTGGGGCATTTCATGGCATTCCCCACTTGAGGACAAAGCCAAATTGCATGTTTAATCGAGTAGGTTTAACCTGGGTCCATCAAAAAAGAAACAAACCGTGATTTGAATTTGAGTTTCAAGTCTTTTTTGGCATTCACAACAGTCAGGAAAGATTTCCCCTTAGGTGTTCACCAAAGATTTTCCCTTATGTATTTAGGACACATTTTCTCAGGTAGGCGTCGAAAAAAGTTGTCCCTCAAAATCAATGGATTGAACGGATTGAAAAGGTGCCGTATTTGCTCAGCTTGTGGAAAACCACAGCTTTTGGGAAACATGCTATTTATGAGACATCAAAATTGACTAGACAAAAGGTGCCACTAGCTATAGAGAGTTCTCCAGATGTCTGGTGAGAAAATGTTTGCTTCTCTTTCCATCATTGGTGGGAAACCCCCGGTTTTACTCCTATTATATGCCAAGGATATATCACGGCTACCCTTGAATACCCTTAAACAACCCCATTGTCAGTTGGAACTATGATTCTGAGTTCACCCTCATTTTAAGCACCACTTCATGCTGCAATCATCCATATCTTGACTTATCATAAATCATCAAAAAAATCCCTATAGAGATTATTTGATGAATCCCCAAATAATCAAACATCAAATCACCATCATTTTCACTGGTTGGTGGCTTTAACCACATTGGAACATATTAGTCAATGGGAAGGACTATCCCATATATTATGGAAAATAAATCTTTGAAACCACCAACCCGTTCACCATTGAATCACCCGTTGTTCACTCCCTGATGCTTCAACCCCTCAACGATGGATGAGCTTCCGCACCAGCTCCTCTTCGCAAACAGCCGCGGCCCGGAGCTTCCAGGCCACTGAATTGCGCACGCCCTGAAGTTGTTTCATGGATTTGGGAAAATTGAGGGGTTTTGAACATACAAAGGTGTATGTATATGTATATATATATATGCAGGTTCTGTGCGTTTATGATAATTAAATGATACTAAGGTGTCTTCGCCAGATGTGGTGTTCATTGATATGGCGAATTGTGTTGACCATGAACTGAGGATCATTGAAGTTTGAGCCCGGGTTCTCGACCTGGGAAAAGCCACTCAACTTGGGCCTACGTTTTTTGGCGATGCGATAAAAATTAGGTGGAGCAAATGGGCTATCATCAACAGTGTTTGAAAACCCATGTTGCATGGGGATAAAATGGATTGACGACCATGACATGGGGATGTAAGATATATATATATATATACAGTAAAACAAGAACAGGTTGGTGGTGGAATATGTGTTGTTCCCGCCTGAGCATAGGATGCTGATGATCCTGTTTTACTTATAGCTTTGGGATGGGTTGACATCATCACTCAACATATTTGATTATACTACCTCTTTCCTGCTTGTGGGCGCCAGATTCTTTGAGAGCTAATCCACAGCTACAAGTGGCGTACACGTTACGACCAGTTGTGGATAAGATGGGATTGTGCTGAAGACTTGTCCGACTTTGTGAAGTTCATTTTGAAAGATCCCTGAATTCCTTAGTTGGACTTAGTCAAGTTGAAACAGATTCTATCCAGCACTTTGTCATGTATCTGAGAAACATCCTATGCATCCACTGATGTTACGCTCCACCTCCAGCAGTGACGATTGTTTTTCCCTCTAAGCGAAGCCTTTCTTCGATGCTTTCCTGGGCAACATGGCTGTGGCTCCTGGACATCGACTCTGGAAAATGAGAAAACCATTCCCCCCAAAAAAATGGTGAATGACTACCATAGTAAATTTATATGTGGAGAGATATATATATATACATACTATGGCACTATATTTGTGAAATATTTATGAAATACCCTGCCCCCCATGAAATGAAGAGCCCAGTGCGGTATGAACTGGGGATGGACACTTTCAAGGACCATCTCAATTTAGAGATGGATTAAGCCCCGAGAAAGTAACAAGGGGGCTCGAGTCCAACATTCCAGTGCTTGCAGCTCTCAATATCTCTCCACATCTTGCAGCTTCCAAAGCACTCTGGAAAAAACATTTCATAATTATGTATATATATATATATTATATATATAATATTATATATATATATATACATATATGTATATTATACCAGTAGTACCGCACAAGGCGGTGGTGGAAGTTTCAAAAATAGGAAACCTATAGGAGAGATTGGCTGTTGTGAATCAGGGATGGCAGAGCGAAGCCACTGATGGACCGAAAGGTGCTTGAGGTCTCCTCTCTTTCTCTCTCTTTCTCTGAATAGCTATCTATGTATCTATGTATCTATGTATCTATCTATCTATCTATCTATCTATCTATCTATCTATCTATCTATCTATCTATCTATCTATCTATCTATCTATCTATCTATCTATCTATCTATCTATCTATCTATCTATCTATCTATCTCCATCTATCGATCTATTGTTGTTGTAGTTGTAGTTGTTGTGGTTGGTGTTGTTGTTGTTGTTGTTGTTGCTGTTGCTGTTGCTGTTGCTGTTGTCGTCGAAGTTAGGGTAGTTTAGTTAGTGAAGGAAGTTAGGGTAGTTAAGTTAGTGAAGTTAGTTAAGTTAGTCAAGTTAGTTAAGTTAGTCAAGTTAGTTAAGTTAATCAGTGTATACTTTTTCGACATCTTCACGTCAAAAAAGGCTCAAAACCCTCAGTTTTTTACACTTTTGGCTTCGAAATGTGCTTCGCGCCACAACGGCGTGCACTTTTTTGACACTTTTTCGACATCTGAACCTCCAAAAGTGGTCCGAGACCGTCAGTTTTTAACACTTTTGACTTGGAAATCTGCTTCGCGCCACAACGGCGTGCACTTTTTCGACATCGCAACTTCCAAAAGTGGTCCGAGAATGGTGTGTTTTGTACATTTTCACTTGGAAATGTGCTTCGCGCCACAACGGCGTGCACTTTTTCAACATTGCAACTTCCAAAAGTGGTCCGAACCCCTGGTGTCTTGTACATTTTGACTTCGAAATGTGCTTCGCGCCACAACGGCGTGCACTTTTTCGACATCTCAACTTCCAAAAGTGGTCCGGAGCTGAGGTGTTCTGTACATTTTGACTTGGAAATGTGCTTCGCGCCACAACGGCGTGCAACTTTTCATCTCTCAGCTGGCCAGCTGGCTCCGCACCCGCCGCTTTAGCGAGCCTACTTTTAGACCCTCCGGAGCCACAAATCATTGGAAAAACACAGTGTTTCGCGACTTTCCTACCTTTTCGCGCATCTGCATCTTCTTTCTTCTGATCTTTTCTCTTCTGACTCTTCTCACCTCTGCTTTTCAACTGTCCATATTGTCGGAAGTTTCACTTCTAAACTTCCTTCGATAATATCATAAATAACAACATCTCATCAATTCCACCATAAACGTCGTGTCTTTTTTTTTCCGGCCAAGTGTCTTGGCTCTACCCGTAGTCTCCACCGTGATGGGCGTCGCATCCACCACTGGCCGCCTTGAGACGGTCTCTGTGGCGGTCTTGCGCGTGTAGCAGAAGCGAAACTTGAAACCTGGGGCACTGGAACCACTGGAACCACTGGACAGTGGTGATCTGGTAGAAAATTCGGTAGAACCCAACTTTTTTTTTAAAAAAAAGCTAGCTTTTGTAGTGGTTTTTGTAGTGGTTGATCATGTGTAAGATGATAATAGTTTGGTCGGCTATGGAAAAACATGTTAGGTTGAATATGTCATTGAGATGAATAGGGCTTTATATGGATTAACATGGATGATTGATGATAAATAGCAGGATGATCATGATAGCATACGTAGCATCTGCAGTTGCGTTTGGTGAGGGATATTGAGCTGCCCTTGCTCCCCAATTTGTCTAGACCGCCCGTAACGGATCAACGGCCTGCTTGTTGGAAGGGTTCGCTCACAAAGCCTGGGTGAAAACCGAAGAGTCAAATCGCAAATTGGCAAAATCATGGAATTGTCCACTTCCATGGGTAGGTTTTGGGGGTTGCCTCAAGATAGGTTGGAAACACGCATCTTTAAAAACTCACCCAGGTCATTTGCTGTCTTGATGTTTTAAAGCTGCATGAAGGTTGCCTGCGATTTCGAACATCAGAGGTGCATCATTTCTTTCATTAGATATTCGCACCCGTTGAAAGCTTGGAAAAAAAATGGAACTCAACTGTTTTTACCTCACTAAGACCAGGATATGTTGACAGGTCCAAGCAAAGACCCGCCATGGCTGGAAATCTGTGGCTATTGAACAAAATGGATGTGTCACAAAAAAATGAAGGAACAACGGTTGGAAAAACACAAAGAAAATTTCAATGAGTTTGGTTGGTAAATCTTCCAAGTTCTGTGATTCCCGTTCTTCTCAATGGGTCGTCATCATTAGAGTCCATGGTTTCTATAGATCAAGGTTTAGGACCCATGTCAATCATATTCTCTGGCTAATAATTTATTTAAAAAATCAGGGACCACAAAACGACATTTGTGTTGGATCATCTTTGGGACATAGATCTACCACCATTTAGAGTGAGGTCTGGTTCACATCGCTGATGAAAATCCCATCGATCCCATCGACCCTAGGGACCACCATGAATTTCATCACAGAAACTCAGGGGAAGTTCTTCATCTCGCATTGCTTCGAAGCCCAAACGCTGCAAATCCGGCAAAATCCCCGGGTATTCACCTCAGCGACAGGGAGGGCTGGGAGCCAAATAGAAAAAAAAGTTCGAAAAAAAAAAGTTCGAAAAATCGAAGTTTCTGAATTTGGTAAATTGTTTGACTTGGTCATTGAACCTCCCATCCCAGCCCATCCCAGCCCGGCACAGTGCCGCCAAGTTCACCTTGATGTCCTGAGAGTTTTGTGGCTACCGATGGGTACAGATGGGATCCGAGATTCTACGAGCTATGGAAAGATCCACCCATTTTTAATGGGAAAACTCACTATAAATCTATGGGCCATTTCAATAGCAAACTGTTAAATTACCGGAGGATATATCATGTGATATTATGTGTACATATCATTACATATCTATAGCTATAGAACTGTCTAAACTCTTTAAACTCTTTAAACGTCTTGAATATCGCATATATCGCAGATTACTCCCAACATATCCCAAGCTGCTTCAACCTGGGATATTTTATGGTTGCATCTCCTGACGTATGGTTTAACTGGGTCCTAGTGGTCCATGGTTAGCATTGGGTGCACATTGAGGGAAACCCAGAACAAAATAGAACAAATCCATCACACCATGGTTCAATGATGTTCAATGGTTCTTCGGGTGTAACGGCCAGATGGCTGGATGCCCAGAAATCGACTTGGCTTTCCGAATGCCCGAATGTTTGGTTATGACAGCGTGGATGGGTTTCAGTTTAGGGATCATATCCACTTGGCAAAAGTTAGTTGCCCAACAGCCCAACATGAAACAACCAGTTGGGAATGAGTCTTGTAAGCAACATCCTGCAACCCTTCCATTCATCCATAGCCAGGCCCGAGAATCGAAACCAGGTGTTCCAAATGATGATGCCTCCAGGCTTCAACAATTTCCTCAACCTGCAAGGGACACTTGGGGCCCAGGAGGAAAAACAAGGGTTGCAACTGTTGACGTGACTCCTTGGTGAAACATATGAAACATGTGAAACATGTGAAACATGCAAATCAGTCGGATGAAATCTTTGCAAGTGGCCAGTACTCTTGCCATCCATAGTGATAAGCTTTAGTGTGCTCAAGCAGGAAAAATGCGGATGACGCTGCAGTGTACTCATCCAGATCATAGTGACATCCCCAACTTGCAGCCGACACCCTCGGAAGAGCCTGTCCAAATCCTGATGAATGTTGTAGTTACATCAAGTTACATCCCCGTTTCTTGGTCAACAAACTCATCGTTGATGATTGCTGATGATTGTTGACGATCGCTGATGATCGTTGATGATTCTTGATGATTGTTGATGATTGTTGACGATCGCTGATGATCGTCGCTGATCGCTGATGATCGGTGATAATCGTTGATGATCGTTGATGATTGCTGATGATTGTTGACGATCGCTGATGATCGTTGATGATTCTTGATGATTGTTGATGATTGTTGACGATCGCTGATGATCGTCGCTGATCGCTGATGATCGGTGACAATCGTTGATGATCGTTGATGATCGTTGATGATCGTTGATGATTGTTGATGATCGTTGATGATCGTTGGCAAATGTTGGCAACTCTTCCCCTTCCCCGGGTCTTCGGGCGGCAATGCCTCTGCAGCATGGGCTCGTTCAAGATGAGATGAACACCCGCAATGAGCTCGAACTGCCCCGACCTCATCCCAGGTCCCAATCTCAGGACTTGATCCAGATATCCCCAGTTTTGTTGGATCAAAGGATAGAAGAAATTCGCCAAGATGAGTAACGATTAGAAGTAATTTACCACTATTAGACTATTAGACTATTTACTAGCATGACTGACATACATCCATTTCATCCAACCAGTTAGATTATGTTGGGACAACTTTGAATTATTCCAGAAACAAGTGGCAACGGTTCCAGATCCACCTTGGGGTCAAAAAGATCCTCCAAAAGGTCCTGAAAGCTGGAAATGGCTGGGCTATCAGTTAGGTTTTGTCATTGGGAAAAACCATGAGACATGAAATGAAGTGAAATCTTCCAAAACTTCTTTGGTGAACATTTGCTGGAAGTATTGTTTTCTGATCCAAAAAAAGGTTTTTCCGAGTTCCATCTCTCTTTACAGCTGCAGCCAGTCCTCTGCATGGTAAAAGCCGATATCGTTGTACCTCGGGTTTGATGTGCTTGTTTTGCAGCAAATAGATCAGATTAGATGAGACTAGATCAGATTAGATCAGATGAGCGTAAATAGGTAGGTAGATAGACAGATCGTTGGACAGAAGATGACGGAGAGATAGATCATATATGGACACTTGAGGAACGTATAGCTACACCCGCAGACCCACCGCATCCCCCATAAATAGCCTCAAGTCAATGAATTGAGGGTTTCGAAGATGGTTTCTGTAGCTATTCGACTGTCTAACCATCTGGTTGGATAGGATGCTTCCCCATGGCCAACATCCACCTAACTTGCCGCCAAGCTGAGCCAAGCTGGGCCAAGCTGAGCCAAGCTGCAAAGGATTGGTGCACTGCTCTTTGAAGCGCTTGCAGATGGCCACACTCACATCCTCCGGTCAATTTTTCAGAACATGAAGAATCTGTGGATGTCCAATTAACCATAATTAACCATAATTAACCATAATTAACCATAATTAACCATAATTAACCATAATTAACCATAATTAACCATAATTAACCATAATTAACCATAATTAACCATAATTAACCATAATTAACCATAATTAACCATAATTAACCATAATTAACCATAATTAACCTAATGTACTGATGGAGGTTATCTGGACAGGGTCAAATAAAGGAGACTGGTAGCCCGCAGATTCGGTTCACTTTGCCATGATCATTTCAAGCCACCTTGTAGCCCGATTCACCTAGTGACTTAGTGTAAGACAGGCTACTACATCTTCAGGAATTGATGTTGCTGTACTTCCTGTAAGACGGGAAGTAGGCACCTTTGGGTTTTGATCATGTTCTACCTACTTTAAGACGGGCTACTACACCTTTAGGGTTTGCTGTACTTACTCCAACACGGGCTACTACCACATTAAAGTCCAGTTCACATGTATAGACTACGTCCAAAGAATGTTGATCGAGTACTGACTTACGGTTTCAGGGACTCCTGCGGTGGCTGTGACTTACCGTCTGTGAGAACTGCATAGGTACAGCAAAACACATTCGCAAAGAGTAGCTAAAAACATTGAGGTGAAAAATGATGACTTGAAGAACTTGAAGCTTCGTACAAAATGTAAGCACTTGGAATCGCAGAAGAAGTCTGAGCATGCAGCTCAACGTAGCCCCAACAAATGAAATATGTGAGGAACAGACCTACCCAGTGAATTTCCTTGAAAAAAAAATGAGAATGGGGGTCTGCGACAACTCTCACGGTTCAACCGGTCAGAACATGTCCACAACAACCATCACACATGGCCCATACCTGAAAACTCACCAACCAGACTCTATGCGTTGGTTCATAAATGAGGCATGCCCATTTTACCTACTATCCTACTTAACTAGTTGATTATCATATGCCCCAAAAACAATGACATTATCGAAATCGTATGCCCCATAGCCCGACAAACCATCGATGGTTTTGGTATCAATTTCCACCTCCCAGGGCTGGTAGGGGTTCTGCACGTGGAAGTTGCTATGCCCCACGAAAAGCGCATCGTGTCCTTTCCTCAGGCAGTTTTTTGGTCACTGGAATAGGTGGCATCTGACCCTTCCCTCCTGTTTTTGAAATATGTCTTTGCTTCCGGACATGGTGTGCGAACAGTAGATGTGCTGCGAAATGACACCATTGCAATGTCCCTAGGCAAAAAAAAAACTGACCATCATTCTGTGACCACTGGGGGCTTATCTGTTGTTACCTAGTTTAGCCCCTAGCAGTTGAGTATATCCTGATCGCCATCCGACGGCATGTGAAACGCAAACATCAAAGGTGAGTGCAGCATGCTGAGGATGAAATCCTATCTTCAGTCATCATTTTTGCCGGGGTTGTTAGGTCGTGATATGTAGTCGACTAACATCGACTAACACTTTTTGAGCAAGTTGACTGCACAACGGGGCTACTACATTGTCACGGAACGTGCGGATGTGGACACAGTTGTGGCTCAACCACAGTTGTGGCGGCCAAAATTATGCTGTTGAAGACATGACTGAACCCACGGCTCCATGAAACAAGAATTTAAGAATCGGAACTCAAGAGATCCATAAATCTTCCCCACCCCAAAAAACCATCCAACCATCCAACTTTGGGCCCTTTGCCCTTTGGCCCCCATATGTTGAACCCGTTCCGAGAGGCAGTTTCGTAAGGTCAGCTGCTTCTTTGCAGCCCAGTTCGGCAGCCGGAACCTGAGAACTGCCATAGTAATGGGATAGCCATGGGATACCGATGGATTCTATTTGTAATGGCCTAGATTGCCTAAATTAAATGACTGATGAATTTCCTAGGCCTAGGAATTATCATTTGATGTTGGTATTTCACATTGATTCCACCACCCCTATGGCGAAGCGCCGCTTCAGGTCGGGCTGCCGAAGCCTTCAACTCCTCCATGTCTTCCTTCCTCATGGAAATGGCCACACCCGGAGATGGATCTGGAGGAAAAGTTATGAATTGACCATGTTGCCAGATTGCATAAGTACAAATATATACAAAACATATGTAAACATCCCCAAATCTCGGAGTCTCAACAAATATCGAAATCAAAGTCTGGCGTCAACTTCTCATCCTCAGCTGTGTGGTTTTCCAGCAGCTGGAAGATCGCTGGATCTTCCTGCGCTGAAGGTACACAACAAGGCCCACCTTTCAGTCAGTCCTTTTTCATGCAGAAAAATGGGGGTTGAGACTAAGTTGAGACCCGTGAGCTTCATTTGCAACCGGAAAAACAGGACATGTTTGGATTAGAAGCCTAGCAAAATATAGATCTGAAGAGCCATGCAAACGTTCGACACATGGGGTTCGAGCCATGCAGAGTTGCCCAAAAAAGTTGGGTGTTTCAACAATGGCTTGACCAACATCTTTCAACCTATCTCCATTGGCTAATCCACCACCCCAGGTGCCCAATGGTGCCCAGGTCCATCTGAAAGCCATAGGTTTCAATGGCAAAGTTCAGGGCACTCCGTGCTTCTGCTGGAAAGGGCTGCACCTGATATCTGAGCCTCACCGGATCATCCATGGGGATGAAACTTCTATCCGAATCCATGCTGATTTCATCCATGAAATCCGCGAAGTTGACCTATCTCTGATGCTAAGACCACGTGGTTAACGTGGTTAAGATGAAAATGAAATGAAGATTTTAAGACTTACTGTAATTTAAGATCCATCGCGGGTGCAACATGGTGCAACATGGTGCAACTGTCATGCTGCCATGCACCAGCCGCAGTGCTTTGCCTGGTAAGCCATCGATTCAGAAACTTGTCGTAGTCGTCCGACGTAGTGAGGTCCGCCTATTTAACCATCAATAGAAAGTCGGAAAATTCGCCCTTAAAAGTCAGAGCTATCCTATTTGAGAACCGATAAAAATATGAATTCATCGAATTAAGTGATGTTTTCAACAACAGAAAAGGTGTATACCAGAAATAAAGGACTTGAACAAGGTGTTAACTTCCATTAGTATCCATTAGTGTGTTCAAGCCAACAGGATAGCAATCGACATGAGCCAACCGACATGAGTTTGGCGTTGATCAATGCCACAAACATGACTGGACCGCTATTTTTTGACAAACCAAAACGGCAATGGCGGGGTCCGCATTTTAAGACACATTTCATCCCTAATTTCTCCCATATTTTGTGATGTATAAAATTTATTGTTTCTTTTTCTGGCTCAATGTGCAGCTCTGTGGGGACACTCTTGGGAGGTGTTTTTTCCCCAAATCAAAATCCTGAATTTCCAGAGGTGAAGTCCCCATCTTTGATGCGGATATTTTCTTCATTTAGATAGCACCATCTAGTGAATCTAGTGGTTTTTGCACATCTAACATTGATAATATCCTCCATAAGTTGAGATATATGTCTATATACAGGAGGTCTAACATTGAAATCCAAGTGTTTCTAGTGAAATCCAAGTGTTTAATCCCCATCTTCCCCATCTTATCTCACGAAAAAACCACACCAAAAACCCACCAGAAACGCAGACCGTGGCGGACTGCGCTGCACGAGCGCGCATGGCGTCAAAGAGGCCGGCGGCCTTGGCCGATGAACGAGTTTTGGGATGATTTATAACCCAAAATTGGAGATCTATATGATAGTATATAAATAGTAAATTTAATTATAGAATTAGTAGATTTAATCATATAATTCGTAGATTTAATGTATAATTAGTAGATTTAATTATATAGTAGATTTATAGTATAGTAGATTTATAGTATAGTAGATTATTATGCTGGTTATATTAGCATATTGGTTATATGATGTGTAATGGTCAATATCATGAAGATACTATTGGGGGAACGATGTGAGGATAGTATGTCATATAAATCATATAAGCACTACAAATTGTGAGATATCTTACCATAGGAATACTGTGGGAATAGAATATTATGGGAATATTATGGAAGATATAGAACCAACAATATGATCATACAGTAACCACCAAAAAGATGCGGAAACGTATTTCCAGCATAATATGTCCTTCCAGGGAGTTTTTTTCGGACATGTTCCAGGTCCAGGAGTTTTCGATTAACATCCATGACTTCGTTTAAGGACCTGGAATTTCTGTTGCCCCAATGACAGATGGATCAGGACCGACCACTTGGTCTCCGAGCACGCCACAAGGCATACATCTCTTCGTACGCACCCTGCTTCCTGCCTGGTCATCGATGGCCATTTTCTGTGTGGCTCGTGGTTTGTCAGGGGTGCTATCTTTGAACTCCCCGAAAGCTGTACAATCAGGTGCCACACCGTGTTTTTTTTTCCGGTGGTCGTGATATCGGCAATGGTGAGTTGTTGATAATCTAGATCATATTACCACATAGCTCTTGGAGGTATGGAAAAGGTTCAATCCGATCCTGGGGAACAAAAAGATGGTACTACTGTGGGTCAAAAACTGTGCTACTGCACCCTGGTTTCCCACCAAAATTGCTGCGGATGTTCATTCCCCACAAGGATGGTCGAAGTTTTGACTGGTGAAGTGAGTATCTCCATTTGACGGCGTTGAAGCCCCGGTTTTGTTCAGGAAAAGAAAGTATTCGTTCGGCAAAAAATCCAGCCATTTCTGTTGGACAATATTCCCATTCTATTATCACGATTTTGTAGGGTGCATATTCATATCTCCATGTTATTGGCTTAACACACCGTTGGGTTGATATCTCAATTTGAGCCGGTGAATATCCCTGTGTTTTTCGTTTGTAATGGTTTGTTTGCGAACTAAAACGAACAAAAATCATTGAATCATATATTTCCACAGTTCAATATGGTTGAGTCCCATTGAACCCCCAGTTGTTTTGGTCAAACCCCATCAAATCACCATGTTTTTCTTTGTCAAATCCCATCAAATTCCATCATGTTTCATCATTTTTCCTGGTGAAATGCAAATTCAAACACCATTTTTCATCGTGAACATCCCCATTTTTCCGCATCTCTGCGACTCGACCTCCGGGCAAATAGGGCGCCACTAAGCTCCGATGCAAAGGATCGGTGAGTCCCAAGCGTTGTGCGCGCCAGAGGAGGGAGGTGGCCTTGGGTTGGCCCAATGGGGTGATGAAGCCCATTGTAATGGCCTAACAATGGGAACAAGAATAGCTATATTCCTATATTTGGTACATGGCTAACATTGATACCCAACATTGATACCCATATTGGGTTCTAGCACTCAATAGTGGGTATCAATGTTAGCCAGAATTTGAAAATAACGATATATATCTTTAGTGGTTGCTCAATTGTATCTCATGAAATTTTTGTTTTTTCCGATGTGTTTGTTTTGGATGGACTATTCTTGTAGCTCAGAGATTCTAGAAATACCCAAAATGGAATTCCCATATTTGTCCTTGGCTTAGAGATACTGTATGTTTCGTCATCTGAAAATAAAGTAAAAAACCTGTGGTTCATTGGAATAGTCTCATCCCACTCAAAAATGCAGAGTATCTGAAAATTTATTCACCAGGTTTCCCATGACTTGTTCCATTAATGATCATCATGTATTAATGATTGGGTTATTATGATGACAAAAATCATGGTGTATACCATCTGGTTATGACTAACAGTTCGCCATGGAACATCACCATGCATTTTCAAGAACGGTAAACCATCTAATTATAAATGGGCCATATCTATACCATGGTTATGTAACAGTCATAACCAGGTTGGGTATATCCCATTATCATCCCATTCTTCACCATTGTTAATCCATTGTTAAACCATTCAATCACCATTTATGGTGGTTAAATAACCATATATGTTTCCATGGTGAATCAACCCAACCGCTAAAGCGGTTTCCACTGGTTTACCCACTGGTCTCCAGCCTTCCGTCTGACCTGGGATCCCCAACGAGCCAGCTTTCAGGTGGCACGGCAGCACCCTACCATGAAACACCGGATTTTATGGAGTTTCTGAGTTCAATGGATTGATATCTACTGGATTTTAGGGTCAAAAAATCTAGGGGTGATCTGGGGTTTATCTGATTTTATATGGATCTTGATGGGAATTCTGGATGTTCAATGGATGTTCATCCCCCCAAATCAACTGCCAGCGGCGCCTTCTCTCTCAGCCAGTCGGAAAAGACCTCGGGTCCCGTCGAATTTCACAGTGTCACCGTGGTGCGGTGAAACCACGGTGAAACCAGCGATGGTTTGGATTTGAAACCCCAGCGAGGTTTGTTCACAAATGGAGATCTACCCCATTTGCAATCTTGGGGAAAGTGATTGCAAACCATAGGATGGTAGGGCCGATTGTACCCCATCAAACAAACCCAGAACTGAAAGCTCCAACCAGATATATATATATATATATATGGTGCAGCGTTGGCCACCCCCCTGTGGCCTGTGGTGGTGGTATGGTTCCTCTGGTCCCCCCCCCCGTGGCCTGTGGTGGTGGTATGGTTCTTCTGGTCCCCCCCCCTGTGGCCTGTGGTGGTGGTATGTTGGTATGTTGGTATGTTGGTATGTTGGTATGTTGGTATGTTGGTATGTTGGTATGTTGGTATGTTGGTATGTTGGTATGTTGGTATGTATGTATGTATGTAGGTATGTAGGTATGTAGGTATGTAGGTATGTAGGTATGTAGGTATGTAGGTATGTATGTATGTATGTATGTATGTATCTATGTATGGAATGTAAGGTAAGGTAATGTAAGGTAAGGTAATGTAAGGTAAGGTAATGTAAGGTAATGTAATGGTATGTATGTATGTATGTACGTAGGTATGTAGGTAGGTAGGTAGGTATGTAGGTATGTATGTATGTATATACACCACCACAGGGGCATCATACCCCCCCCCATCCCATGGGGGGGGGTGGGAACACGGGACACGGGACCATATATATATATATACCATTGAATACCTCTAGGTACGAGTAGTTGAATCCCCCGTTGTGCTTCAATTTTTTTTGAACTCCGGCATCTGGCATCAGGATAGATCATGATCCCCAGACCGCCAACATGCGTCAGCACATTCTTTTTTTTAGGACCATGGTTCATGGTAAATTCCAATATATATATATATATATATATGTATACTATATATTCTGTATATATATATATACCGCAGCGAGAGTCCGCTTCAGCATGCAGCATGACAAAAAATATAATATATATATATATTTTTATCAACTCATCATCATATCAGGAGCCACTTCCAGTCCGTTCGTCCGTTCCAGTTCCAGTTGCGCGATGTTGAGGACAGGTGAAGGTCCAACATCTCCAGCCGAAAAGTGCCAGAAACAGCAGGCGAAAGTTTCGGCTTCGAAGGCTTCGCCGCCAAAAAGCGTTGATCGGAGCCATGGGAGGATCCAACAAAAATCCGGAAAAAAAAAACGAAAAAAAAACCTGGAAAAAATTATGAACTTCTTGTTGAACTTCTTGTTTTTACATGTTTTTACATGTGTTTACATGACTTTATGCTCAACGTTGGTGGGTTGCAGTTTTTGTTTGGTGTTTTTGTTGATGCTGAATGATTTAGGATGTCTTCAGGTTTTCCCAGAAGTGTTTAGGATTTGACTCTTTTTGGATGTATCTGGGTCCGAGGGCCACTGATGTCCCGCCTTCTATTCTTGCCACCGCATCAACGGCTGGTTTTGCGGGTTTGATTTCTGATAGGTCCTGATGAAATTGGTTTGAACATGTCAGGTTTCAATGGGTTTCAAGCCATCCTGTGAGCATCCTCAAGTTGTGTGCCTTTGGGGCAAGCTCAAGTTGCGCGGCGAGGACGTCATGATGAGTGTTTTTGTGGGAGATTGCGACTATGGAATACAGTGAGTTGCAAATGTTGGTGGAACCTTCCCAGGTTTTCCCAACAGGATCTACGCAAAGCCCCAAACGTATGATCTTCAACCAAGGAGATTATCAGTTTTCAGTCGTCCAGTGGTGACTTCCCCATTCTTTCGGAGTCTGCAAAATTATAATGTCGATTTGATCACAGCACAATATTACCATTGAAAATCACATGGTCCGGCTATCTGCAGAGGTTGAAAATCACATAAGGTTACCACATAGTTCTAGATAAATCCCAATATACTTCCATTATACTCCCATTACAATCCCAATAAGTCCCTCCCATTGTAATCCCATTCAACCACCATTAGTTCTGGATAACTTTGGAATCCAAGCGTTGCCTCGTCCCGGCTATCGAGACCTTGCAGGATTGCCTTGAGCTCCTGACCAACGATTTCGTTAGTTGGGGAGTTCTGCAACAAAAATGGCAATTTGAACGGGAAAATGTAGCTTTCTTTTAGTGGGTTCTCCAGTGAAAATGAGTTTTCGAGGGAATTGGAGCATGAAGCTAAGGGGGTTGCCGTCTAAAAAAAAGTGGGAAATGCGCAGGTAACATTCGAGAGATAACGAGATAGAACCAAAATGGAATCAACCAAACTTTGGGATTTTTTGCTGAACTTGGACTTGGTGGGTTAAGGTTTGTCGAATCCTGTTGGGATGGTAGTTGCAAGCATCATAGCATGGGCGAACCTGGTAAGAGTATAGGTTGATTTGATTCAGTACATCGTGGAGGTTTCACTGCATAACGCAGTGGTTTCAAGTTGCTAAGCCTTGAATATTTACCACATCGGGACACGCCTGGGGATCATGGCTGGCTTCCTGCATGGCTCGTTTGAAGGTTGATTCCTGGTGATCCAAAAATATCCAAGGAGCGTGTCCTGCGATCGAACTGCATGATAGGAGCATGTCCTAGCTGACCCCCACATGAGAATTCGTACTTGTCATTACGTTGTTTCCTTCGTTGGCTGCGTGACTGAGCCATTTTCACGGGTTTTCGGTTGTTCTGATATATCCCATTATATATAGTATGTATATTATATATATATCCCCATTATATATGGCTAGAATTGTTTCATATCAGCACAAGTTGGCCCTTGGCTCTCCAAAGGCTGGCTTCAAGGAATGGACTTGACGCTGGCCATGCGGCCATGAAGGGCTTCTGAGGCCCGAAATTCTGCCCCCGAGCCGAAAGGCAATTTGGATGCCACGAACGTGGTTGACGGTGGTAGCTCTAACCTGTGGGAGTCATAATGAATCAGTGAAACCAGAAAAACAAAATATCACAATATCCCTTATCAATGACAGTATGTTTTTCATATCTTCAAGGATTGCGTTTTTGACCGGTCCTTTGTTGCCATCATAATCCTGTCATATCCAATGCCATGAGGATTCATGAGGACATCCATAGGTGCAACGACGTGCAACGACGTGCAAGGACGTGCTGCTCGTTGTTTTCTGCGAGCCATGAGCCTTCCAATTCCGAGTTGTGAAACATTCTTGGCACATGCCAGGGGCCGCACCGCCCGATGCGAAAAGTTGAAAGTGGATTGCCACTATGATTGTGGGCCATTGCCATACCAAACTCCACTGACTCCACTGGTACCACCATGTACCACCAGGTCCATGGGGTAAACTGTTGCCACTTTGGGGCACAACACTTTCACCTTTCATGCTGAAAAGTAAAGGATGGATATGCTCACACTAGCAGGGTTTGAGATCCTGTGTGAATTTATCTGATACATTGACATAAATGTCTTCAAGCGCAAAATCACAAAAGGACCCTCCAAAGAAATTGTTTTGAGTTTGACATGGTTATATCCCACTATTCAATGGTGGCATTTAATCACCATATAGTGCCATTGAATGGTAGGATAGTGGGATATCACCATTGATTGGGATGTAATCCTCTGCAAATGATCCCACCCTGCTCGTGTACCCATTGCTGCGAGGGGACCCCGTACCTTAGGTAGGGGAAATCTGATGTCCAGCTGATGGTTATGGATATAGAAGCTTGTTGATTGCCCCGAATGTTCTGGGTGTAGAACATGTATGTGGGGATGGATTTTTCAAGAAATAGTTCAAACCACCAGCTGAATTCTGAGGTTGATAGATTCGCCCTCTAATTCAAGTGTCCACTTGTCACTTTCTTATTGACCCTGTTCGAAGTTCAAATTCTATCTACTTTATACTGGCTTTATCCATCAAGCAGTGTGCAATCAAAAGTGGATAATACTCCTTGAAAGAACTTACCGTGTGGTCGTAATGCCCATTGTGTTAGTCTCATGTCTGTTGCACATATCCTCATGTTGATTCATTTTGATATTTCAATGCCACTCATGTTGGTGAACCGCCAATCAATGATATAATCAAGAAAAACTGAAGTGGTACAACCAACATCATCCATGATAGAATGATCTCCATCTCCATCACCGGCTGAGCACCCGCATCTAGCCATGACCAGAATCCACTCCACCCCTGGCCGAAACCCAGAAGTCCACCGGGATTGGCTGCCATTCCACGTTGCAAAAGTAAGTTGTTAGAAAGAAAACTCACTTCAAAAACAAACATCCACGAAAAATTGTCAGAAATTCAAGTCTCAACATCCCATCGTTTCTTGATCTTGGTCTTAAATTACCCATCATCCGGTTGATGGGCATCGTCATGTCCAGCCTTCGTTGCGACTTGAGACTGGCACCTTAGCCATTGTCCAAAGCACTTTGTGGTTTTTCTTGGGTCATGTACTTTGTGGAGATGCCATTCTTTTAAATCACTTCAGGTGGGGGTCTGTGCCAAACTAGGCTGTCTGGACAATCGGTTGAAAAAACAGGTTTGTCTTTAAAAACCTAGGGGATAACGACCATTGATTCAGAATCATTGATTTGCTATTTTTATGGCGGAAACGTGGTCAAGTTGGAATGGGCTGCGCCCGTTTTGTCATCTACCGTGCCCAAAGCCACTACATAAGTTCAAATCTTAGCATTAGCGAGTGAGAAATCCGAAAGCAAAGCCCTGCGCTCGGTGTCTATATCCCAAATATTACCATAAAATGAAGCGCCTGCAGGCACATCTAACTAGCTTAACTATGGTTTATGGTAGGATAGCCAGATCCTCCCATCATCTGAGGGTTTAGAATGGGAAACCTTCATATCTATGTATCTATGTATCTGTCTATCTATCGATCGATCTATCTATCTTACTTATCTATCTTACTTATCTATCTTGCTTATCTATCTTACTTGTCTATCTTACTTATCTATCTTACTTATCTATCTTACTTATCTATCGTGCTTATCAATCTTACTTATCTATCTTACTTATCTATCTTGCTTATCTATCGTACTTATCAATCTTACTTATCTATATTACTTATCGATATTGCTTATCTATCTTACTTATCTATCTTATTATCTATCTTACTTATTTATCTTACTTATCTATCTTATTATCTATCTTACATATTTATCTTACTTATCTATCTTACTTATCTATCTTACTTATCTATCTTACTTATCTATCTTGCTTATCTATCGTACTTATCAATCTTACTTATCTATCTTACTTATCGATCTTGCTTATCGATCTTGCTTATCTATCTTACTTATCTATCTTATTATCTATCTTACTTATTTATCTTACTTATCTATCTTACTTATCTATCTTACTTATCTATCTTACTTATCTACCTAGCTACCCATCTACCTATCTACCTATCCACCTATCTATGTGTTTATGTATCTATGTATGCATGTGGGATATAATATACAAATAGCATGAGGGCTTATAAACCAACAAACACCACTGGAGGGGCACCTCTCATTACTGGCGCTACCTTCACCAAGCTGCGTCTTGTTCCGATGCTGGCCCGACGTGGCCTGGTCGGCTGTCATGGGGAAATCCCGTCATAGCTGAGGGTCATAGCTGGGAATGACATTGGAAAATATAGGAAAATGAATCAAAACCTGCTTGAAATGGAAAAATCATATGCAAAAATCTGGGATTTCCCATTGCTATTGATTGATTACATGATTACTGGAACCATCTCGGGTAATTTTGAGCCACGGCTGGCTGGTTTTTTGTTATGACCAAGCCCTCAGGGTTCTGGGGTCGTGCTCCCACCTGGAAATTTTCAGCAATAAGAACGGAGAGTCTGAAAGAAGGCAACGTCAGGATGTTCAAAAGCGAAACTTTGAGACATATCTATGGACAAAATGTTCTTTGGTTTGAGAATCTTGAACACCTGAATCACTGGTTTGCAGCGCGAATCCTCATGTTTAGCAGTTTGCATGCAATCGCCCCGCAATGTTCAATGTGAAATGCATTCAGCTAAATACCAAATTACATCCGCAGGATCAAGAAGCCGGCATATCTTCAACATTGCTAGTGCAACACCCTTCTTTTGCCAGCAATCACCCAAATGTTGATTTTGGTTGTTTCGTCACGAAAGAATAACAAGGAGTTTTGTGTAAGCTCGATCAACGTCCGTCCCTGTGGATTAGATCATTCAAGAAGCAGGCTCTGGCTCCCACAGTATCCTCCTTTGATACCAGAATGCTGTAAACCCAAAGCCATAAACCATATACCTAATTCTTCCAAATTTGGGGTGCTTTCAAACAGTCACCTTCCAAAAAACATATGTATATACATATGTATATAAATATGTGTATATATATGTGTGTATATATATAAGATGTGCGTTTCCAATAATTTCACCTTTAAAATAGATTGTAATATATAGAGGTAGTGGAAGCCAAACTACGTGACGCATCCCGATTTCAACGTGGCTTCAGCAGTACGGCACGGTTGCCGCCCAGCTGCTTTGATAGGACATCTGCCGCCAATCCGCCCTTCCCTTCTAAGGCGCGCCTGCCAGCCGATGGGGATGTAGGATGGATATGGTGGAGCAATTTGGATGGACATGGGGATATGATGTGTGTACAAATATATAATATAACAATATAATTAATGAACATAGTCAGGGAATCCGTTTGGATCTATTTTTGGGCCATATCTCATTCCACCACAGTGACAGTAGGTGCAAGTGGCTTCATAGTCCGCTGAATGAATTGGTTTCGAAAGTCATCAAACTAAGCCACAATATGTAGCAGGTATGTTGGAAACTTAGCAGTTTCTTCGGACTTGAAATGAAAAAAAAATCCGCATGGGGATTCAGAAAACAACTGGAAGAAAGTTGTTAAACATCTCCAATGCTTTTTCCATATCAACATATGTTACCCTATGGTAATTTAACATAGCTATTGAAAATGGTCATTTATAGTGGATTTACCCATTAAAAATGGTGATTTTCCATAGCTATGTTAGTTTACCAGAGGGTAACATATGTTAAGAATGACTCCAAAGAACACTCTCAGACTATCTCAGACTGGATGTCGTCTTGACCTGGCACATTTCTGGCACCGATGGCACCAAGGCTCCGGCTTGATGGCATGGATCACATCTGGATCTTCTTCCTGAAGCATTTGGAGATATTTGGAGCCTCATGGAGCCAGTAACTTAAGCTATTGAGATTTTTAATGATTTTCACCATTGATAGTGACTGATAGTGGTGATTTTACCAGAGGGGGATTGAAAACAAGCATCTTTGAATTGTCACACCCTCATCACTAGGTTTAATCGTTTAACCTCCCAGCACATGAGTGACGTGAGGTTGCTACAAGCTGTCGTCTCTATAGGTCTCTATATTGCTTGTGAGTTTGATGATAGGCTCAAAGGTCCGAAAATCGGAAAAAAAGAAAAGAAAACAAAATAGAAAACCCAAATCCAAGAAAGCCCAACAAAAACAAAACAAAATAATCATCGATGTTGTACATCCTCTTCTCAGCACCAAGGCAACTTGTTTAGCCAGGCTACAGTGTCCAGCAAACCCTTCACGCGCGGAAGGAGTTTGATGCCATGAACACCTTGAGGAAATTTTGGACAGAAAAATGACGTAAATCATGGTGAAATGATGTGGAACGAAGATGTGTTTAGAGGGTACCCTCTGGTAATGACTAACAGTTTGCTATTGAAAATGGCCATAGAAATAGTGAGTTTTCCCATTAAAAATTGTCATTTTCCATAGCTATGTTAGTTTACCAGAGGGTACCATATGAGTGTGTAATTGGAATTACAGTATGTCTATACATGTCTATATTATTTTGGGGTTAAAAAAAAGTGGGATTATCACTATTTGGAGGATCCGCCAGCAAGGAATCGCAGTACCAGAACAGACATGGCGGGAACGGAGATTGTCCCACAAAATGCAAAAGCGGGACATGATCACCGAAAGCATGGGAGACAAACAAACATCAATGACCATCAATGCTTACGATCACGGGTAAAACATCCAGAAACTGTGAATTGTGGGACGAAAAAAAACATCCTAAATTGGGGATATGTTTTTCCAACCAAGAGTTCTCATTCAAAAACGGGGTTTTATTTAAACACAGAATGGTATGTAGCTAACCGCAGGGAATTGGATTCCCTTCAGGGCCTGAAGCTCCAAGTCTGACGGTCCAAAATCTGGTCGCCATGGATGTCCATGGTTTACCCTCTGGTAAACTAACATAACCATGGAAAATCACCATTTTTAATGGGAAAATCCACTATTTCTATGGTCATTTTCAATAGCTACGTTAAATTACCAGAGGGTATCTGTGTTTTTGTATCACCAATGTGTTGAAGACTGGAGATGTTCACCTTCGTCACAGATCACCATTATGCACCCACATCTCCATTTTATCCCCGTAGTTTCTCCACTATCTTCCCATCGTATCCCGATTATTTCCCCATCATTTCCTTCATGATATTCTCATTTTATCCCAATGATCCTCCCATAATTTACCGAAGAAAAAAAAGACATGATTTCCCATGTCTTCTCTATTATTCCCAAAGATATCACCATGTCTTTCACGTTACCATAGGGTTTATTCTTGGTTTTACAACAGTATCTCCCCATGACACCCTATGATTTCCTCAACATATTTCCCATGCGCTCCGCACCCATCAGCTGAATGCACTCCACTGTCAAGCGGCGCACCAAGGGATCCTCAAATGATGGGATAACATGTGGGATATAATAATGTGATACATATATATATGTATATATATATGTGATATATGTGATATATGTGATATAATATATATATATATATATATACACATCTATATATATAATTATATATGATATAGTGGGACAAAATGGGATATCATGGGCCATGGGAATTCATGGGATATCATGGAATCTCAAGTCTCAAAACCGTGTTTTTCACCAAGGCTCTGCATGGATGAGTCTCTTGGCGATCTCAGGGCCTCGCAAACGTGGCACAACTTACGGGAGTTGGTTGTGAACCTCGAACTACAGAGCGGGTTCTCAAATATCAAATGCCTCAGGAACTGATATGGCAGTGTGTCAAAACCCTTGTACCCCTGGTGAACCCTAAAATCGCTGGTAAATGGATGTTCATTCCCCTAAAAATGGTATTAATACGTATTGATACATCCCCATATCAAATGCCAAAAAAAATCACATGCCTCAACTGTTAGTGGCGCCGAAAAAATCTCGTTGCGCTAGAGATATCCTTCTGGTGTTCACCATGGAATCTCCCAGGTCATACGAACGCTTCTGCACTCCAGGCTGTGCAATCACTCTGGGGGGAATCGAGAAAAAGTCATCAAAAGATCAACATCTTAAATGATGAACTGATAATGAACTGATAATGAAATGGCGATAATGAAAACTAAGAACGGCTGTGTCACTTGAAACAGCCTAAGGAAACCCTTCATAAACATTACGATGGATTTTGGATCAGAAATTTAGCCACCTGCCTTTTGGGCGATGGGACTTGACTACATTGATGTGGGGATGGGCCAAAGTTCGGTCGCCGTGCAAAACAACTGCATGCTTAAATGATGATGAAAAACTTTCCCTACAGTCATGGGTGCTACCAGTTTTTTAAATAGCATTCATTGATAATAACAACAGCAACCCCCAATAGCAGATGCCGATTTTAGTGTTTCCAGGATGCCGATGTTCGATTGTATTTAATAAGAAATATATGGCTTTTCCTGAAAATAGCGTAGCTCTGAATCCATTGGTTCATCATCATTTTCCATCATATTCCATGACTTTTTCCATGATTTTCCAAAACTTTTTGGGCTATACACCATGATCAGTCTCTGGGTGCCCCAGCTCGCAGGCACAGCATGTTCTTTGAGGTCCACGAAGGCTTCCATGGCCTGGCGGCCCGAACTACTTCGGGTGTCCAACAAACTTAATAGCCATTAAAGATGAGGAGATACGTGTGTATATATATAATTATATATATACACACGTATGTATATATTTTTTTAATAAATTTATGTATTAATTAATTAATTAATTAATTTATTTATTTATTTTATATGTCATGTGCGTATCATGTATGTCCCTTTTTGTACTTGTTTGTGTTAAGACATTTCTGTTGATCAGCTACACACTGGTATTCACTTCCACCAGGGTAGCTTTGTTCTCTTGGTCTTTGCACGCAGGATCCGTCCTTGGTTGACCAGATTTTACCCCTCGATCTCATAGACTGCCCAAGACTCAAGACGTTCGCAGCGGAGCCAAAAAGGGTGTTGCACTCCCCGTTTCCAATCCCCAAAACTCTACAACTCCCAAAAAATTACTTACTTTACAATCCAAACAACCAAAATCTAGAAACTTGTTTTTAAAAAATCTCCGAACTTGCAGTTGATCTTCTCCGCAGGTCCGTCCCAGTTGAGCTGCCGCACCGCTCGACGAACCTTGAAGTCTGCCGACTCCATCTCTCCTCAAAAATCACCATGAATTGGGTGGTATTAGCGGCTACCATCGGTTACCATCGGTTACCATCCCCAACTGGTAGGTTTAGGGATTTGGGTTTACCACAGTAAAGGAACCAAATTGATTCAGTGCTGATTTCCACGAGATCGAACTAGCCCAAACCTTGCCAGAGGTTCATGGGGGTGCAAGGGAAAGCCTGAAAATCTGCCGGAAACCACGGGATTTCCCATGCAAATTACAATCAGAAGATCTGGATGTTCTTGTGAGAGTCTGGGACAGGGTATAAAGCTGACAGCTAAGAACGGCCAAGAAAGCTGAGGAACCAAACAAACAAAAATATAGAGTTGAACCAAGAAATATGGAAATGAAACCCGAAGCGCATGATGAATCAAGCAAAATCACTGTAAAAACATGGGGATATCGTCGACAAGCAGCTTGCAATGTACTCCAGGAATTTCTTTGCCTTGGCTGTTGATGGAACTGACAGGCTTTAATGCTGGTAAAGCCCCGTATTAATGGTTGGTAAATGGGGCTTCTCGCAATCATGATAATCTCCCCAAAAGAATGAGTGGTATAACCCTCAACCATGAACCGACTTTTTGGTTGGAACTAACCATTCTTCATTGAACGCAGCACATGAACGTTCACATGGTGCCCACAAGTTAACCGGCGGGATGCGATTCCACTTGAAATCTCATATCCTAAAGAAGTTCCTTCATGTTGTTTTTACACCTCCCAAAAATAGCTGTCAATTTACACACATCCCATGTTCAAAAAGAAGTCGACAAATCCCTCCATAAATCCCATAAATCTGATTGGAATCCCATACATCCCGTTCCCATTTACAAACATCCAGCGACATTGGCTTGCGCGCCACCCAAAACATTCAGCACCTGCAGAGGGGACTCATCTCATGGGGTTTAATCCATGGGTTCATGTGGTAAAGCCAATAAGAAACCGACCATTGGGGGATGGTTTACAACTTTATACTACCCATACATAGTGATTTTGGGGGTGAAGATTATTGGGTCAACGTGGCCTCTCCGTTTGGCGATTGAAAAATCGTGGATTTCAACCCTTTGAACCCATGGAGAAAGCAGACACTTCCATGAAAAAATGAAGACACGCATGCACTCAAAACCCCACCCAGAAAATGATGGGAAAACCATGGAAAACCATCAAATCTCAAATGTCATACTCTGTGGGTCCAAGAATGGTGCTTGATCAACCCCCATGCTCAGTGTCCACCAACAATGACACATCAATTTGGGTGAACGTTGCGAATTTGGAGAGGCTTTTCCCCGTTTCTTGTCGTTTGAGCGCCAAGCTGGTGAAATCCTGGGAGTCCCGGATTTTTCCTGTAGCATGAATTTTCATCATGCCACTTCCGTTCAATCCACTTTCATCCACTTTCCGTGAAACACCAATTTGGGGTCTGAGAATAGCCCTAAATCCATTGATTAATCATCATTGGTTAATGATTATCATCGATTATCATCAATTGGTTAAACAATGATAGATATGAATCATTGATAAATCATTAATTCATATCTAGGACAGTCATGGGTCTACCCAGTTCTTATCGCTAATCCAACAGGCGCAACCGCTTGCCACAACAAGCCCGGCACCATCGAACGCTGGCGCATGGTCTCTGGCAACTGATCCTCAAGAACTGGGATTAGCGGATGTGATAGTAATCTTATAGTAATGCTTGTGGCAGTCAACGAATTATCATAGATTATCATAGATTATCATAGATTATCATAGATTATCATAGATTATCATAGATTATCATAGATTATCATAGATTATCATAGATTATCATAGACTATCATAGATTATCATAGATTATCATAGATAGATTATCATAGATAGATTATCATAGATAGATGTTCATAGATAGATTATCACAGATTATCTATGTTCATTGAATTTAATTGACTGGTAATTACAAGCTATTGAGATCACCAACAAAAAATACCAGAGAGTAGCTAATGAACATGCCCTGATCAGAGATCATGCCCTCAACCGATGCTCCCGGGTCCACAACCATCTCCAAACATGGTGCCATGATGCAGATATGTCCGTTCTGATTGGGTTCATATCCTCTACACATGGGTAGCTCAAACTCATTGCTCATTCTCCGCAAGTTACTGGTTTCTTATCCCAATATGGATGTTTTTTCACTGATATTTAATGGATGTTTTTCTATCCCAACTGGTTACCCTATTTTATGGATGTTTTTTCGCTGATATTGCCATGACTGTTGAATATTGGGATCCCAATGGTTGAGCAATGCTTAAAAAAAAAAAACAGCATTTTGGCTGGTCATATTTCTATCTTTGATGCTTGAATCCCCAGTTTTTCATGGGTCAAATCATGCTGTTTGCCCCTCAAGAACAATCAAACATGGAGTCATTCATGAAAAATACCCTCTGGTAAACTAACATAGCTATAAAACAATCACCATTTTCAATGGGTAAATCCACTACACAGCTGTAAATGGCCATTTTCAATAGCAAACTGTTAGTTTACCAGGCCGGGTATTGGGATATCTTAAGCCATGGTTGATATCAAGTGACTCGCCGTCACCATCTCAAAGTCAACCCCTCCATTCCCTGGGAAAAGCCAAGAGACCAAGGACTCTTCCCACAGCACTTGACCTTGGGATGTTCTGGAAAAATGGCGGCATGTTGAAATCAAGAGAACCTCGTAAATCCCCAGCTAGTGTACAACAATTCACAAGTGATATATATATATATATTGTATATATATATACACGTATATTGATTGTATATTATATGTATGATATGTGTGTGTGTGTTTTTGGTTGGTGGTTTTAACCCAGGGTAACCCATCCCAACCATATGCGCGTCATCGCGACCAATCATCCCAAGTTACCCCCGACCAGGTTTCTATTTGAGGCTTGGAGAAATTGTCGGGTCCAGGACGTCAAGATTTGAGAAGAATCCCGAAGGGCGACACATTGGCTTCGTCTCATTGTTGAATAGTGTTTGACATCCGTTTCTGGTTGGTGTTCAATGGATTGTAGGAAACTATAGTAAGTATATAGTCACTATCTGTAGTAACTATAGATCAGATCATCCGAAACATCCAAATAATCCTACACCAAAAATATGTGGCCTTAAAAAAAAAATGCAAATTTTTGGCCTAAAGAAATTCCTTTGGAACATCCCTTGGTGCGGTTCTACGGCGATGATCTACCGAGGTGCCAATCGTCCCCTAGGCGATGGGGTCGGAGGGGGGTCCTCGTCACCTTCGTGTCACCTGCCCTGTAAAAGAGCACTAACCACAACTAACACGTCAGGTGGGTGCTGAATTGCCTTAAACATCCTTAAACCATCTTAAAGTATACAAAGGACATGGGCCTCTGCATTCACAAATGCCCATCAACTCCCCCGCGTTCCGACCATATCTTGCTTTTGTTTCACTGTCCAAATGCGGTCATCATTTTTGCGCATCTCAGAATCTCCGCCAGGCTGCAGCGATGATAGGATTGATGGGCGCCAGACCACGCAGGACATCCATGGCTGCCTGGATTTTGGTACACGCGGACCCCAAATGGGCCGTCCCCAAAAGAGTCGGAAAATGGATGGTACCCCCAATTCCAATGGCTGTTGATGGCTGCCGAAATCTTCGGCAAAAAATGGAGGTACATTGTTACTGTCTGTGGTTTTTTGCCACCACTTTTGAAGCAAGAAAACAAGATCCCAAACATGTTACAGTTTTGCTCAAAGAAATCGAGATGTGTAGATTCAGTGTAGATCAACAAACGGAAAAAATCACAGACTGATAGGAAGCTCGAAAACTAGATTTCAAACTCTAAATGGTGGTTGTGCGTTTTTTGAAACTGGATAATGGTTGGTGGGTTCTATTACCATCAATCTCAAATCACAACTGTTTCCTTCGAAAAAATGGAAACATGCTCCCAGGTCCAAGAAAAAAACTAAGTGAAGTTCAAAAAGATCGATGAGTTTTGGACATCTGCCTGAATTAAAACCCTGCCATCTGATAACTGACTCTTCAAATTTGACAAAAATCAAGACCCAACAAAGATGTGGCAGTAAAATCTATTGGATCAAGCCCCAGTTGGTCACTGCGCCCATCGTGCCTTGCTGATTGTCACATTCCTTGAGACCGGGACAGAATCCCCTTTGGATTCCGAGAACCCCTGGATAATTTGGAAAAGGGTGAAGAATAGTTTTTGATTTTTTGTTTGGTCAGGTGGTTTTTTGTGGGGTTTCTGTCCTGGTACCATTTGCCTTGTATTTGCAACAAGTTCGGAACTAGAACTTGTCATTTTGCATTGTTTTTGCTACATGTTTAGCATGTTCAAAGAGAGCAAACAAAGAAGTTGCATGAGGGTTTCATTTAGGGTTTCTTTAGGGTTTCACATAGGGTTTCTTTTGCGGTTTCATTTAGGGTTTCATTTAGTGTTCATTTCTTTAGGGTTTCTTTAGGGATTCAATTCCATTTAAGGTTTCATTTGAGGTTTCTTTAGAGATTCCTTGGTGGTTCTTCAAGGGTTTCTTTACGGTTCCTTTCAGGTTTGCTTAGGTTTCTGTAGGGGAAGCAAAGAACCTAAATGTCCCAAAAGAGTATGAATTAAAAGCACGAAAGCAAAGAAGTATACAAACAGGAGAGAATAAAGCAAAAGAAACAGAAAAGCAAAGAGACAGTAAAGAAAGAAAGCAGAGAAGCAGAGGAGCAGAAAGGCGCAGAAACAGAAAAGCAGAAAAGCAAAGAAGCAGGAAAAGCAAAAAGCGGAAAAGCAGTGAAGCAGAAAAAAGAGAAGCAAGAAAAGCAAAGAAGCAGAAAAACAAAAAACGGAGAAGCAGAGAAGCAAAAAAGCAAAAAAACGGAAACGCAGAGAAGCAGAAAAAACAGAAAAGTCGAGAAGCAGGAAAGACAGAAAACCAGGAATAAAACCAAACATACCTGGTCAAATGAGGATTGTGAGCAAAGACTCGTGTTTGACCAGGGGTTTCCAACTGGATCATAGCAGTTCCTGGAAAACTTCGGAATTGCTGGGTTTGCACAAGAAGCCCCCAAAGCCAAAGCCTCACCATCGAAGACGCCTTTTGCCCAGTAGTGCGTTAGTTACCGGTGTTGGTGATTTGCAGCTGCACTGAGTGATCCAAGAATGGTGTAGTGGCTCAGAAATCGAGCACGCATGTAATGGACCATCCCCATGTTCTGTTGCCTGCTGAAATTTCCACATGTCTTGTCCGTTGTTCTGACTTCAATGCGTCAATCCGCATGTTTTGATCAAGGGGCCGCAGTTCCATCTTCTTCCTGACGCAGGATCTCGCCAAAAATACGGAAAAAGGACACATTTCTTCACATAAAAACATAAAAATGATGTGAATCAGAGAAACACCACCTATTTTTTGCATGGCAAGTCAAACTTGGTTCAAACTGATGGGTGCCATGGGTGATCATGCCTTTGATATGGAGCTGGCAACGGCTGTTGGGTGCCTATCGTCAAATTGCAGAGGGCCCTTGGAATTGCAGCAAGTATCTTCAATTAATGAAAAAAAAACGTGTTGAAACCTGTCCAAACGATTCTTCTCGCTAAATGGGGAAAAAAAACGGAAACCAAATAGGTTGCTCCCGGCCTCAAAACCTTGTAGCCATTGCCTGAAACAACCTGGCAAAATCATCGGGGATGGGAGCACCTTGTGGACGTTTCCATGGATCTGTTAGATGCGGATCAAGAGTTCAAGGTGAAATGGTCTTTGAAAAGATCTGTATATCCCAGTTTTTGACATCGCATCCATTTTAGGGATACATCCTCTCTCTCTCAGCAATTTTTCAAGACTTCAATGTATTTTAGCTCCAAATGTGGGGCAGTTTCACCTGGTAATCTAGACTGGCAATGCTCTTGGCAAAGTATTTGGAAGGTTTGATACCATTTCCCATCACATACGGCATGTCTAGTCAACTTATCATAACTTACAACAATTCAACACAGAAAACCCTATATTCCGACAATCCCGAGCATCGTTTATGGGGTTGGCAGGTTTTTTTGCCAAATGAGGACTTCGAGCCTCGGCAGGTTGGTTGTGCCTCTTCGTTTCAACTATTGGTGGTTTCAAGCCACTGAAACATCTTCGAAATCATTGAGGGATCATGATTTACCATTTCTATCCCAGTTCTATGGTTCATGAAAATACTTGAAGCCACCAACCAGGCAATTTGATCTCCTAAAACATGTTAAAAGCCGGCCTTGACCATAGCTGGGATTCATGGATGGCCAATCCATCCCCCTAATGAGAGCACACTATGGGGTCATGAATGGTCATGACCATACCGACTGGTTGATAATCCTTCTTGTCCGTGAAATTATAGAGATCCCATGAAAGTATATAATAAACATGCGTATCTTAGAGAACATATCTAACATATCCCACTAAATCTCCAGTAAATCCCTCTTTAAATGGATTAAATCCCATTTTTTGTCACTGCGCGCCTCTGGCCCTGCGGCGATGAGGCATCGGATAGCGACGGCACGGATATCCTCAGTCAACCGACCAGGTGACCGGTTTTTTGGAGGGCTTAAGCCCTAGAGAAATGGTGGATTTGGGTTTCGTTGCGCAACAATGGCTCAAAATGGCTGGAAAACAAAAAACGGTGATTTGTGCCGCTAGAACTAGCACTAGGAGTTGACTGGGAGGCTTACAAGCCCAAGTGCTTAACCAAGGGTTGAAGTCTTCAAGTGTTTGAAAGTTTTCTGCCACACCTTTCAAGCATACTTTCAATAGACAAAGATTGGGAAATTTGACTCTGTTTGGATTTGTTTCTTGCCCGCGAACTGCTTGGAGGTTCAAAAATCTGAAGAAAAAAACAAGGTTCCACATGTGCTTGATTGTGTTTTGCCCTCAATATTTGGGGAATCTTGTACGTCACTACCAAAAGAAAAAAACATCAAAATTCCTAGTTCTCGAAGTTCTCCCTGGTCTCAAACAAAAACATGGTAAATGAAGTGCACTTACCCCACCAACAACTCCCTAACCCCTCAAAATGGGTATCACAACAGACCCCATTTGGGACATGATTTGGCCGTGGCGTCGATGTCTGGATCTTCAATGAAGGTAACAATGGCCTGGCGACTCAAGTGACTGGGATGACTAGGAGATTCGTTGACAAATTTGATACCCCCCTATCCTGCCATATCCTGCCTGTCCTTGAATCTATTGAATCTATTGTGTTTCTTAAAAACCCTTCCATCGGCTTAACAGTTTGACAAAAAAAAAAATCCCATTAAAATTAAATAAAACAACAATGTATGTAGTTGTTCTCCAATTTGGACAACCCAAACAATATATGCAAAGGTCCGACGGTCAAAGATGTCCATCTTTGTCCATCTTGGTTGTTCTGCATCTCTAAGAACCGGATTCTGGTGAAGCTGCATGCCTTCATATGTGGAGCAACCAGGGGCCCCATATCGCCCTGCATGGGTCCCAGGTCACCTCAGCGAAAGGTGAACAACCCATACGTTTTGGTTGCACCAACGATGAACTTTTGGAAGTGAAACTGTCTTTTTTTGCGATATATGCATGGAAGAAATACATATCCTTTTGAAAAGTCTGTGACTTAGTGGTGGTGGTTTGATGTAGGCAATTTGCACGCGACGTCGATATGTTGAGAGGACAATCTCCCAAGTTTTTAGCGAATCAAATGCTCTGGGGCTGATGACTGTCCCTATAAGCCTGGGTTGAAATTACAAAAACGGCAGAAGTCACACAAGCTTTAAATGCGGTTTGGTGGCTCTCAGAATTCAGCACCAAGTAATTTAAATCTCAGCCCTGGTGGAAAATGTCTGAACTTGGCTGTGAAATGCTGTGAAATCATGAAATGTCCACATCTTTGCTCCGAGGGTATGAAAATCAAGGCGGGTCGGGTTCAAAACCGAGACACACAGAAGGGTAAGAACAGCGCGAAGCACCTTGGCTCAACAATGCACAAAGGATTCACGCAACTCCCCACTCAACAAGCTCGAATCACCAAGTGTGACCTACATCTTGCAATGCCATTGAGCAGAAATTGACAAAGACTTGTCAAAATAAATTGGAAAGCAATCAGCCCAGCCTTGCCGGCCAACAGCAGTTCCAAGTTCCAGGGTATTATTCGCTATTGAGTGGTTTGCATCCATGATGCACCAGTCCCAGACCCAGAGATTGAAACCCAAAGAGAACAGCTGTGGATAATTATCCAGCTCAAAATTCAACAAGCACAAAACTGCAATTAACTTCAAATAACTAACTTCAAATCACAACAAACATCAAAGTACAATGAACTTCAAGTTAAAACTACCTTCAAATTACAGCGAGATTCAAATTGCATGCCATTTCAAGGAAACAAAATGAAGATCTAAATGAGAAAATCAGACATGAAAAGACATTAGATTTTTTCTTCTATACATATATATATATAATTATATATATAATTAAGTATAATATACTGTACATATATATATATATGTATACAGTATAATTAATCATTGATCATTCTTTGATTCTTCGATTCTTCGATTCTTCGATCTCAAACATTCGCGTACTTGCCCAGCTCGCAAGGACCAGCTTATGACCACCTTCCCGGCCCAAGGCAAGAAAATGCCGTGGCACTGTACATGGCAGCGATTTAACTTCAAATGATAAGTTCAATTTGCAAAGAACTCTATGTATCTTTGTGTTGCAACGATCTTCAGGCTACGCAGAATTTCAAAATTGCAATTCCCTTCAACTCAGTGTTTTTCCAAACTGCTGCGTATTTGTTCAACCTACTTTTGTAAATACCCCATGCTTCGCATTGATAAGCTCATAATGACTCATAATGTTCAACTTTTTGGCATGTCTAGTACTTCAACAATATCTGAGTATCTTGATACTTAAGCAATAAGTTTGAGAGGTTTTGAGCTAATCGCATCGTATTCCCTGCATTTTATTGGACCCCCCATCAAAATGTGCACATCAAAAAGGGATGGTTTACCCAGTCATTGCCAAGGCGCTACTTTCACAGGAGCCTCTTCAGAGCTGCCTTTCGACCTATCAAAAAACTGGGGTCAGTAGCAGTGGACCCAGTGGAAGTTGGAGCTCATCAAACATCTTTGGGACTTTGGGAGTTGACCAACATTTTGGGAGGTTAAACCGTGAACCGAGAACATTTCGCAGGTAAGCCCTTAAATAATTCGGAGTTCCCATAAAAAATGTGGGAGTTGACCAATACAATTTGAGTTCACCAGTGAAAATTGGGACTTGACGTTGCCCCTTAAAGATGTTGGCTGAACTCATTATATAGATTTGATTTGACCAAGAAAAGAATGATTTTGGCGATAGAGATTGGACATTGACCCAAGAAACGTTGGTACTTAAGCCACAAGAAATGGGGATGTACTCACCACGGAACACACAGACTTTGGATGACTTTGGTACTTTTTACACATCCAATCTTTGGGTTTTGCCGCACACACCAAAAGATATATTGAAGTTGGGGTCGTTTTTGCTGCCTCTGGGGGTCTCTCCAATCAGGCATTCGGCATTTGATCCCAGGGAGCATCGTAACTACTTGGAAAGTTAGAAAACACCATGGATGGGGATAACAGGGTAGGGTTGCGAATCACCAACAAATATCAGGGACAATCATCATCCATACCGGAAGATGTTCTACGATAGACTGCTCGGAATGTCGACATCTGGACCTCTCACACGAAAGAAAATCCTTTCCCGCAACCCGTAATTCCGTGACAGTTAGGACTTTCTTTCTGAAAACTTGAGCAGCTTCAAAACATCTGCTGACCCATGCAGCAAGTGAACTCGAAAATTTCACGAAAATAGTGCAGTTCCCCCTGGTTTTCCCCCAAAACACGGTCGATTCCAGCTCTTCCACAAGCCCTGGGCTGACCCTGGAGGTGTCCGCCGGCCCGACTGTTTGTCACGATCCTCGGGACGCGGATTAACACACATAAGATTGGAGATAAGGGGAATCTTTGAAAACACCTACCAATCCAACCAACCAGTTGCAGATTTTTCATGATGTTTCATGATCTTTCATGATCTTTCATGATGTCTCATGATCTTTCATGATCGTTTCATGATGTTTCATCCCGGAAAAATGGATCGCCTAGTGGATCACATGAAGTCAAATGAGTTCGAATGGCGAATCGACCTTGGACTCCCGGTTGGTGAAAATGTGCAACATGTTAGCTAGCAATCTCCTCATTGCAGCATCCAAGTTGACTGTCAACTTCAAATGGGTCCCCAAAAAATGGGTATCACAAAATGGCAAGTTTGATGGGGAAATGACGTTGTAAAACCATGATATTTGGTGGTATCCTATTTTCAGATACAGAAGTTTTGGACTAAGATCCGTATTTTTTGGAATATCCCCATTTGTTTCCAGCCCGAAGCCTGCAGGAACATTCCAATCCGCATCACCAGCTTTTGGCCCAGCACCAAGTCGCTTCCTTCCGCTTGCTCTGGAGATCTGTGAGGGCCTTGATCACATATTCGATCCTGGGTCCCACATGGTGCCAAATGGCACCCCAAACCCATTGGCTCTTCGGCAACTGGGGGTAGCCGGGTACCCCAACCGAGCCATTAGACAAGGACATCATTTTTTGGGGTGTTCACTGGCAACTGGCCCTGTGCCAAGCTGGAATCCTGTGGCATCAAACAACAGCCGTGACTGAGTGGTACCCAAAATAGATAGGCAAGAAACAACCAGGAACAACCAAAGTCGGTAATGTATCACAACCAAAGTCTGTATCTCACAAGGTTCTCCCCGTTACAAGATCTTGTTTCTGCCGGGTTCCTTATTGATATTGAAGCCCCGACAAAAGGAAAAGGCAATCTACAAGAATGGCACAAATTTGAGCATGATTGAGCTGAGCATCACATCCTCTCCAGACTCTTGGGCAGCGTCCTGAGCTAGACCAATGGAAAAATGTCCGAAAACTGGCGAGTTTTTAACATCACAAGATTCACAAGGAGATGTCCCATTGATAAACTGGATAACAAGAGATATTTTCCGAGCAAATTGGAATGTGATTTTAGAGTCTCATCCAAAGTATCGATTCGCGCAACGTCGCAACGTCCCATCCCACTGGATTAAGGATCCAGTGCCCGCAAGAAATGTTCCCAGCTCCAAAAATGTTGGATAGATCCCAAAATCACAGTGCCTTTTAAGAATTTTCATAGTACCTCTGTTTTGGGTTGGTGGAGGTCCCACTGGTGAATTATTGCCCGTTAGAAGTTTCTTTTAGCATGGCTGCCTTAAATAGGTCATATATCCGCGGCTCTTCGTTGAATCCACAAAATTCTCGGTCACACATTGGAAAACAACCGCCTATCTCATGGATCTTCATGGATCATCATGTGTATTACATGTGTATTACCCTTCATCAAACATGGCTGGGAAATACCACTCAAATGGAGGTCTGCTGGGAAAACTGACCCAGGTCCCAGGGGCCAGAAGGACCTTATGCGCCTGACGTCGATAGAATTCCTGGCTGGGGAAAAACATAGGAAAAACCATGGGATTTGAGGGTTCCACATTTTGTGACAACCCCTGTTTCAACATATATATATATATGTAAATATATGTATATGTATATGTATGTGTATATTTAGATCATGTGATGTATCGTCATAGGAGATATTCATCCATATCCCACAACTCGATGATGAGTCATGCCACGGTTATTCCAAACTTACAAACTGGAATTCCATGAACCCAACAAACCAACACTTGCCCAGTATCCCAGTATCATCAGGGGGGATAAAAACATAGTCATTGGGCAAAGGACAGAATGCTGCCACCCACCGAGGTACTGCCGAGGGGTGAGGTGATGCAATCCATCATTAGACTGATATGTCAATTGTCTAAGCACAGTGCTTACAATGAAATAGCTGGTTGAATCCAACTATAGTACCCAAAAATATGCAAAAGTCATTTACTGCTATTTTAATGGGAGTCTACTTTCCATCTGTAGAGTATACCTTCATTGATCCCTCAGAATCAACCCGGGTTGTATTCGTCTATGGTTAAAGATCGATGATACTCCACATCTTGTTTCTTTAAACCCAATTTTGTTTCGTTAAAAATCAAATGTTAACCGTTAGTTCATGTCCAATTCGAATCGTTAAAACCCAATTCTTCTGCATCTACAGGTCCAAAAACCCAAGGCCCTGCCAGAAATCCAGCCCCTTATGGTCATTTTTTTGTGTCATCCTGAAAAATCCCACCAGATCAATATCAGATGTCCTGAAAATCCCCCAGCTTTCTCCTGCTGGTGGTGAAGGATCTTTACAACCTCCTCAATGCCACTGGCGGCGTGTGGTCCCAGCTGTTGCCAAGCTGCTACAGCAGCCACCACTACGGAGACCTGCAAATCCCTGAAAATTTTGTCAAGGGGTCAATGGGATAGTATTGGGATACTCATGGGATATGAGTGGGATATGAAAATGAGATATTCATGAGATATATAGTGGGATATTTCTTGTGGGATATGAGTAATGAGATATCAACAATATTTGAATCACCACAAGAAAACCTGGATGTTTGACAGAGACAATTATTAAAATGGGGATTGATGGGTGTGTCTAAAGATGGGACATATGAATTTTAATCGGTGTATTCGTTCGGGGATTATAATCTTCTAAACCATCGGAATTTTGGGCGGATCAATAGCTGAGGATGTTTGAGCGATTTAAGGAGCATGGGATTCAATTAAGATGGGCTCTTTATCAAAATGCAGAGGGACAATGACCAGCAAATTCGAAAAGCAAAATGATTTGACAAGAAGTGTGGATTTTACGGAGAAAGAAAGAGAAACTGGGCCAACAGCCAAAAACCTATGCTGCATTTCGAAGCTCCAACGAACACGTGCAAGGTGTTGCAGGTCCAAAGTTGTTACGAACATGACTTAGTAGATCTCTTCGTGTATATATTATCTATATATATCTGCTTCGCAGAAAAGGGTCCATCTAAAAATACTGTACAACAAAATCTTATGGTTCATCATGTCCCCACTGTAAAAGGCCACATAGTAGCGCAAATCCATGTACCCTCTGGTTAGTTATTTAACATAGCCATGGAAAATGGCCCATTTATAGATGATTTCCCTATTAATACCTCCATTGATTTTGGGGATTTTCCATGGCTATGTTAAATAACCAGAGGCCCAGAGGGTAAATCTCTCATTTTCTGAACAAACACAAACCAGGGAATGCCCGCCTCGTCGTCAGCGACCATCTGACCCAGTTTCTTCCCGTACGGAACCGCTGCTGCCCCCATCCTGCGCGGCCAGCAGCATTTAGCGGTCAAATTTCAATCCTATCAATATTGGGACAGTTTATAAATTATATTCAATTTTAAGAGACTATATATATATATATATATGTTTGATTTGTGTTTAATGTTGCATCACATCTCATCTTAAAACTCAGTCACTATTGAAATGTCCAGCATCCATGGAACGTGTCGAGCCAATCCGCTGTTTTCGAGTCTCAAGCTGAAATTTCCCGGAGTTCATCTCAAGCTGAAATTTCCCATTCTGCCCATTCTGCCCATTCTGCCCATTCTGCCCATTCTGCCCATTCTGCCCATTCTGCCCTTGTGCTGAGTTGTTCTGGGAATCAAAATCTGGAAATCGATAGAAATCTGAAGATGTCTGCCGTTCTACGCCAAGAATCTGAGACAATGTACTCAGCGCCAACTCCCGAATCTCCCTGGGCGGTGACGGATGAGTTGCATCAGCCTTCCAGTTCCGTATCTTAAGTGATCTTCTTCGTGGGCTAATTTCACCTCAACTCTCAAGTTCAAAAATTCCAGTTGTACACAGAAATACGGGTATTCAATCATGTTACAGAAATATCAAACCATATCAAAGCCCAAGTTTTTTGGTGGTAAGAGACCATCTATGACCATCTGACAGTGGCCAATTTGAGGAAAAAAAATGCTGGTGGTTTTGCGTTTTGCCAAACAAAACACCATTGATGAAAATCAAGTTGATATGTTCGTCCAATTCACCAGGCTTTCTTGAAACCATATTGATAGTTTCCACTTGCAAGAATCGATCTCAACAAATTATATATAATTTATCTGGGCCGGAAATGGAAGGAAATGAAGCCCACAGGCTACAACACCCATTACGAGTACAAGGTCAAACAAGGGTCAAACTCCCCAAAACAACAAACTACAGCAATCTGGTTCATCCAGGAGTAGCAGTGAATCTAGGCGTGGCCCGTTCTTGCCCCATTTCTTTTGGTCATTCCATGTCATTCCACTGATGGTTAGCAGCTTTGGTTTCACGTTCAAACTTACCAGTTCCAAAGTTTCAAGTTCCAAACGCCTGTATGAGTCATTCATGGGTCAGTCGATCATTGAATCATTAAAGAATGAAACCAACAAACACATGGGTTTGCCTCAAAATTTGCTAGCCCAGTTCGTCTCATTTAAAAGACGTCAGTCTCCCCGTCATACGTCGTGGCGTCACCAAGAGGCGGCTTGTCATGTGCCAATCTTTGGGCAATTTCCATGACGGCCAACTCCTGACGCCATGTGATGATCACCAGATATCACCAGGACTCAAAGACTCACAGACCATGCCAGTTTTCGGTTGGGAAACCACAAGAATCCACATTGATATCACATCATATTATATTATACTTGCAAATAGCCATGTGTAGAATATAGTTATATATATATATATGCATGACTGGGTAAACTATGGATGTTTAAAGCAAGATGTAACCCACCTTACTCGATGTTTATCTAAGCTGGCAATTAACCTATTGAAAATAGGAAACAAAATCCATGATCATGCTCATCTAAGGGTACATTTGGAAGGGGCCAAAATCCAACTGCAGAATGCGGATTCAGTAGGAAGCTTCGGCCCCGTACCAGTTGCCAGGGAAAAACATCAAGTCTGAGCCCAACAGTCACGACCCGCAGAGTCGTCATTCAAAACATCAAAATCCATCAAAATCCTACAGAACTCAGTGGATATTTCGGATATTTCGGATATTTCCAGAAAATCAGCAGGTTTGAGGCCTCCCTGACTCGTTCCGACGACCGTTCCGACTCGTTCCGACTCGTTCCGACGACCGTTCCAAGGCACTGCATACTCTGTATCCACATTGCCGGCGGCAGCGGCGCCCGCCATGGAATCTTCACCTGGGACCATGGGACCATGGGACCTCCGATCATCCCAAAGGGTACCAGGTTTGTTGCACCAGTGCACCAGGGTCCCAGGGCGGCGGCAGGGCTATCCGGCTATCCCCTGATAAAGCCGAAATGAACTTATTTCGACCCCGATTTGATTTGAAATGGACATGTCTGACTGGCAAAATTGGTCATCAGATTCATGCAGTCAATGGTATAATTAGTGTTAAATCATTCATTTGGGGGGCTGATAAGTTTGACCGATTCCCAAAAAGGATGGAAAAAAAACCATGTGGGAAATCTACCCTACCCCTTTTTTGGGCATGTGAAAAATACTCGGGCATACCTCAAAAATTGAACCATCAACCAGCAAATCTCATGTTCTCGTATTGTTTGTTGTGTTTTCCCATTACATATATCCCCACTATATCCCCATCCTATCCCCATACTATCCCCATCCTATCACGATCCTATTCCCCTAATGTGCTAATAATAATCATCAGCCAACCATAATTCATCAATTATTATTTCATTATATCACCGTGTGTTTCATCGTCAAAACCCCTATAAATTATGATGGCTGAAACCCAATGTACCTGTCAAGCCCGGGTTGATTAACCAAAAATCGATTAGGGGGTTACCCCCAAAATAGTTGTCTGAATGACTATACAAATTGGTGCTCCTGGGTCAACATTACCCATTATAACTAATTAAAATGCTGATTAGGCCATTATAACCCACTTGTTAGGGTATATATCCATGATATCCATTCTTATGTTCAATTTTATCCCATTGTAAACCCTTGTGTGTGTGTGTGTTGGCTAAATCCCTTATTCTTGTTGGTTAAACAGTTAAACCATCCATTGTAGCTGGAATCCAATCAAACTGCTTCATGAGTTGGTTGTCACCGATTATGATACGGTCAGGGAATATAACACTCCTTCTAGTTTGACATAGCCACGGGGTCGAACTAGATGGGCCATCTATAATATACCATGGCTATGGTAGAACCCTCTAATAACCACGCTTAATATATCCTTATCATTGGGTTCATACCCATTTTACCGTAGGTCAAAACACAAATAGTATCCCATTGTATCCCATTGTATCCGGCTAAATATCCTTTATGTTGACCATATATAAACCTGATATACTCCCCCAATTTAAATCCCATGAAATCCACATGTTGAATACTAAAATCAGTCCAAAACTGTTAAAAAAAATGGGGTTTCCAATCCATGAAAATACCCCCAAGTCATCCATTTTTTTGGTGGGAATTTTCCATGAAACAAACCATCCAGCTATTGGGCCCCCGAAGGAACTGGGTCAACCCGACTTCTGGCAGTCGTTGGTGCGTCTTCATCACCTGCCGCGAACCCGAAACTGGGGAGAGAATGGTGAAAACCCCATGGGTTTTAACCTGTGCAAGTGATTTTGAGTTGGAAAAACGTTGGAAAACAATTTGTTCAAGTCATTTGAGTCTGAAAATACGGAAATCCATTCCATTGATCTCATTTTTGCTATGATTTTGACGGACATAGAATGGAGTATCTCATGTTTTTGGACAAATTATTTTGGTAAGTGGGGTGGTGCCGTACCAAAATCTGGAATTGTACATCCGAAAAGGTTCCTGGAATCGCATATTTGTCAGAGCTGCAAGCTGACGCTGAAGCTATTGTTGGAATAGTTTACTCCCATGATATGAGGCAATGCAACAAACCTACAACATCTGGATGTCCCTATATAAACGATCCAAAAATAAGGTAGCCACCCCACAACTCAAAAAAAATAATGTTTCAGAGACAAACCCTCGGAAAAAATCGCAGAAACATCACCTTTGGACCCTGAGCGCATACCTTTTGGAGGTTCATCCTTTGCAGCAGGCGGAGGAAAAACACGCCTGGAGCTATCGAAGGCTTCCCCCCTATCCTGGTGTTTAATGACCAAAAAAAATATGCCGTTCAACCGTTCGCTATTTTTCCCTTTTCACGTAATGTGACTATAGGTGGAAATCTGATGACTTGGTTCTGACATCAGAATGGTTGGTGCTCACGGATGTTCACCTCACAGATTATCTAGGGTGTTGGCCCGTAACTGTCCTCAGTTTGCGATATTTGCTGTAGCTCAACATCCCTTTGTCCCGCAATTGGCCCCGTGTGGGTGTGTCTTTTGTGCATGGGGAACTTGATGATTAAATAGGGGTTTGCGCGGGCGTGCCCAATTTTCTAACCACCCCACATGGGTCCAAATGGTTTACCATTCTTCTTGGAGGGTGCATCCTCGGAATTGTAAGTGTGTAACAACTCATCTATACCCTATTCAACTGGGGATGTTCCAACCATATAAAACTGACAACGAACATGTGGGATTTTTGTCAACAACAATGGCAGCGTCTGCAATTTTTGGTTATCTTCCCCCATGCTGATTTTGAGTGGGGAAAATCATGGAAAACATGGATAATCCATGGAGGTCCGAACACTGGGAGACACCCAGTGGCCTGGCCTCTCGATGCCCAGCGCAGCGCTTTTGGGCGGCGTCTCAGACAATGACGAACGATAGATGGCCAGCAAAGAACAGGCCACGCAGCTGCGCACGTCGGGGTCCTGGTGGAACCCTGGGATTCTGGGGGGTCAGCTACACATACAAATAAAAATACATATATTATACTATATTAAATAATATTATATTATATTATATTGTATTATATTATATTATATTACATTACATTATATTATATTATATTAAATCATATTATATTATATTATATTATATTAAATTATATTATATTATATTAAATCATATTATATTATATTATATTGTATTAAATCATATTATATTATATTGTATTATATTATATTATATTAAATAATATTATATTATATTATGTTATATTATATTATATTATATTAAATCATATTATATTATATTATATTGTATTAAATCATGTTATATTATATTGTATTATATTATATTATATTAAATAATATAATATATTATATTATATTATATTATATTATATTATATTGAAAAATATTATATTGTATCACATTATATTATATTATATTATATTATATTACATTGCATTGTATTAGATTAGATGATATTATATTACACTAGATTAAATTATATTTTATTATATAATATGATGTTTTATGATATTATCTTAAATTAAAGATAATATTATATTATATTAGATTATATTTTATTATATTAGATTATATTATATTCGTTAATATTATATTATATTATATTAGATTATATTATATTAGATTAGAGTATATTTGAACAGAGAAATTGGGCTCTTAAATCTGATGAACACTCCTGAGCACTGTTCAGCACCTTTTCACTCAGTTAGCTCGAAGGTAGCTAAAAGCACTAAAATGGCTAAAATGGCTGCAGCACATATACAAACATATGTACTACATGTAACATGGTCTATACTGTACACATATCTGATCACGCCTCCCGAGCCTGTTCGGAGGCACGGTGAGTCCAAGTGCTTTGAACTAGGCGAGTTTTGATATGTACAGCGGAGCATAGCCACGACTCAAGCCATCTATGCCTTCAGTGTCAGGTGATGTTCACCTTCCAGAAAGTGAAAGTTCATATTCCGCAGGGCTTTGTTCATCTTCTCCTCTATGACGGGTTTCGTCAAGACGTCGGCAAGCATATCGCCAGTGTCGACCTTCTTCAGCCGAAAGTAGCGCTTGGCAACGCGGTCTTGTACCCAATGGTATTGAGTATCCACGTGCTTGGCCTTGCCTAATCCTCTACGTGAACCCATTGCTATTCCTGCACTTGCATCCATGAAAACTTCACTCTCAGGTTGCAAACCCCAGTCTTTGGCGCCTGAAACTTCTCCCAGCAAATTGCTGGCACCACTCACAAGAGCGAAATACTCACTCTCTCCAGACGAAAGACTAACAACTCCTTGTCCTTTAGAATAAGTCTTGATACAACAACCACCGGCCATCAAGACGCCTCCTGACACGCTCTTCCTCGTCTTCACGCATCCAGCGTGGTCAGCATCAGACCACATCACAAATGGACTGAGTTTGTTCTGATGAGGAAAGAATTGTGCCATGCGTGGTCGATACCTAAGGTATCGTGCAACTCTTTTGAGCATAAGCATGTGGCTGGTAGTTGGTCGTTGTAGCCCTTGTGCTAAAGATCTTGTTGCTACTTGCAGATCTGGTCGGTCTTGTGCCAAATAAGCTGCTCGCATTGCAACTGATCTATACTGGGTTGCTTCTTCATCATTGAGAAAAACAGTGGCATCCTTAAGATCTTCCACCGATCCTTTGGCAAGTGGTGTCTTGACTTTGGCTCCTCGGGGACCATCTCCGAGTAAATCAATCACCAACTCTGCGTGACGTGCATCTGGTTCCCACCAAATTCCATTCTCCTTCCACGTGATGATTCTGTTCAGGACTCTGATGTCCTGGATGGTGTTTGGTGTTCCTGGTGGTCCTAAAATACCACGTTCCACACATTTCCACTTCTTTGACAGCTCTTCATGAAGCTATTTGATGTTGTCAAATGTTCCTGCTGTTGTAAAATCATCTCCATGTACAACAGTTCTGAGGTCTCGGCCTGCATGGTAGTATATGCATGGATTGCTTTTTCCTTGCTTGAAACCTAAGGCCAACATGACCTTCTGTATTTGCAACTCCCAGTTGAGAGGTGCATCTCTGGTTCCATACAATGATTTGAGCAATCTTCCTACCACATCTTCTCCAGGCTTCTTTGCTTCTGCAGGAAGCTCCACGTAAATTTCGCGCGTCGCATCTGAATAAAAGTGAGCGCGTTTCACATCCAAAAATCCTAGAAGTCTACGCTTGCGATAGGCTTCCTTGACAGCTTTTCCAGCGTCTGGCAACTGAAACGTGACGGCTATTGTAACTAGCATCTTCAAAGCAGACAAACTGGGCATGGCTGCGAAGAACTCATCAAAACCTGAGCCCTTCTTGACTTCTTGAGCTACTAACCTACTTCTATAAAGTGGATTCTCCTCATCCTGCTTGTTGACATCTACCCATCGTGTTCCAATGGTGCGTACCCCTTTGGGCATCTTGTGTCTGGGAATCTTTTCCCAAACTGGAAAACTTTCAATAATTTCGACCTCATCTTTTCTGGCTTGTTCTACACCTTTGCTGTCCAAAATCTTTCCACTGATATCATCATAATAATACCATGTAACTGCTTCATCTTCCAACTCCGGTGGAAGAGGAATTGTTTCTTCGCAAACTGGCTCTTCTTCACCTTCAATGGACTGAAGATACCTCTCCCGATCTTCCATGATCAGGTTCATAAGACATTGGTCTATATCATCCATGTCATCTGGTCTCTCATTCTCAGGTGGCCGTTTGGTGCCCTTAGACGCCTGAGCTGAAGCAGCTCGGCTGTCTTTGGCTTTTGACGTCTCGCCTCCTGAGTCTGCAGGTCTCTTCTGACCTTTGGTTGGTGACATCTCCAACCTCTTGTGTGATCTTTCTTCTTGCTCGCCTCCTGCTCTCTTGGCTGAGGCTGAGCTTGCACTAGCTCCTACTCCAGTTGCGGTAGGATCTTGTACAGCTGGTCTCTGCATTGGACCGGCCGTAGAAGCTTCCACTACATCAGGTCCAGTAGTTGGCAAACTTGGCGCTGATTCCCCTGTGGCAGAATACCACAGCTCGGTAACGATATCTGTGTCATCAATCAACGGTGCGTTGATGACGTCTTCTCCTGAGTTAGGATCAATTGGTTCAGACTTGATCATGTCTCCTGTCTTGAACTCTCTGGTGACTCTCCACCAGACGTTATCCCAACTGGGACCTTCTGGCATAGTACCCTTGAGATGCCTTGCATTCCTGTCAAGGCGCGCAAACACCTTGAAACCTTGAGGGACTCCTTGTGGTCTCTCGCTTGAATATCCATAAAGGATCTTTGTGTCTTCTTCGGACACTTCTTGTTTCTGACCAGTGATTTCAGAATCAACCTTGGCCGTATGTTGGGCTACTCTCAGGTTGCCCTCTTCTGCTTGAAGCAGACGTTCCATCCTTTCTCTGCAGGCAGGAGTGTGATGAACTCCAGTGCCTCTCTTGCCAATTCTAGTGGCATCACAGGCGACACAACCAGCGGTGTAGCCATACTTGTCCAAATCACGTTTGGTGATGTAAAGTCGTCTTGTCGACTTGTTTGGTGGCTCAACTGGCACTGATGGCGCCAGTGGCTGCTGATCTCCCTCAACAATCTGAGGAAGCAAAATGTCATCTCTTTTTGATGCCTGGGGATCCCAAGGAACCCCAGTGACTGACATCAACGTTTCGACATCATATCTGTCGTCAGCACTCTTGCGTCGAATGCTTTGCACAGTGAAAACACCCGATGCATTCCCCACTATCTTTTCAGTGGTATTGTCTTTGACTCCCAAGAAAACTCCTTGGTGCCATCTTTGTTCAAACTTGTGACCTCTTTTGAGGAATTCAATTGTTTCCCCAAATGGTGGTAATGACACTCTCCACTCACGACCACGGTGTCTCGAGTACGGTGTCTTCCCATCTTTGACTTCCAATGATCTGTGAAACAAATTGTAAGTGGTGCTAGCATGTTCAACCAACCATGTCAAAACTGGATGGTCGTCTGGCACCTTTCTTCCATAGCTTGTCTCCAAGGCACTTCTGAGTGTCCTGGATTGAGATTCAATAGCTTGAACTGCTCTTTCAATTTCCCCTTTGGATTCTGAGACTCCTTTGGGAACTTTTTCCAAAACCAACTGTTTGTCAAAACCATTCTTGGCTGCCTCAACTACGGAGTTGAGTGCAGGCTCTGGGTCATACCTCATGACCATCTTGGGGTACCCAAACTTCTTAAGGTCATTCAAAAGACACTTAGATCCAATAGGACCTTGGGTAACTCCCTTGTACGGCAAAACGTGTGCGTAGGTCAACTTGGACCATCGATCATGTACTATCAAAACTGGTGCATGCTTTTTCTGCACTTCCTCTGTGATGACAGTGTCATCCACTGAATTCATGAAACAATAGTCAGCTGAGATCACAGGAACTGTTTCATCTGAATGATCTACTTTGACATGTCTCATTGCCTTTGCTTTACCTCGAATGCAATGTTCACACCAACTCCTAAAAGGATAATGGCTGACAAAATGCTCTTCTTTTTCTCTCTGCGTCGGCCGGCGCTGCTGCAGTTGGTAGTGCTTGAGAACCTAGCTTACTACTGCCCGGTTCATCATCTCCACTACCTGCGCTCTCTGTGGTTTCCACAGGACTTACGCCTTCAACCCTTCTATGGGCTGCCCATGAAAATCCATGGCTACTTTGAAGACTCCTCCAGTCATTGTGATTGGTACCTTCTTGGCTCCCCTTTGCAGGAACGATCCTTTGGGGCCGAAGGTCACTGTCCAGCCTTTCTCAACCAGCTTGGACACAGATAGCAATGGCTTTGCCACATCCATTGCCCGGAACTGTCCCACACCTTTCACTTGTGGGCCTCCTTTCTCACCCATTGTCACCATGGGGTTGCATATGCCGTGCACCTGGACTGGTTGTCCTGATGCATTGGTAAACGGCTTCTCATCCACAGGCGTCATAGCCAACTCCAAAGACTGTGCCATCTCCTTGGGTAGGCAACTGGTTGCAGCCCCTGAGTCAACGGTGGCCCAAACAATGGTATCCACCGGAGATGCCAAACTTCCCAGGAAGTCAAGGTTGGAGTCTGATCGAACTCCTCCTCCTGGTGAGTGCTCCCTGAGCTTGGGAGAAGGTGACTTCTCCTTCTTCTTCCTGGCCTTTCTTTCCACAAAGTTGGCAGCTTCACGCACTGCCTTTTCCAAGAATCTCTTGGCACCTGTGCTGATTTTCCCCTTGCCCTTGGACGCCTGGGCTGAATCAGCCCGGCTGTCCTGAGGCGCTCTCGATGGGGATATGGACTTCAGCTCAATTGGTGCCCTGCTGGGTGACTTGTCATCCTCCTTCTCTGATCTCTCCTTCTCTTCTCTCTTTGCTTCTTTCTCCTTCTCTTTCTCCCCTGGCCTCCTGGGGATCTTCTTCACTTCAGGCCTCACATCATCTTTACCCTTGTACCTGAAGCGTTCATAGTGCTCCTCAAGGTGCTGCTTGCGCTTCTTCTTTTCTTCATCCTTAGCAATCTCTTGGCGCTTTTTCTCATCTTTGGCTTCTGCATCATCCATGGGGCGCTTCTTGGATGCTTCCCCTTCAGCCTTTGCTTCTCTTTCAGCCTTTGCTCGAAAATGTTCTTTCTTCCAGAACTCCAGGGCGTGTTGAGGATAGCAATTCTTGCTCTCCACATGTTGCCAAAAGCTTGCAAGACTCATGGAGTTCAGTGCTTTTCCACATGCCTGGCACTTCACATAGGGATGTCCTTTGTTGGACACAGTTTTGGACTTCTCGTGCAACTCCTTGAATGACATGAGCTCTCGAGAGGAAGTCTCCCAATGATGAACTACGTCTTCCATGCCTGGTGCAGGTTCCTGATTGTATGGTAATTCATCTGATTCAGCCTCTTCAGATGTTCCTAGGTCGAGAACTTCACCATAAGCCTTCTCATAGGCCTCCTTCAAGACATTGTCTAACTTGCTGAGAACTTCAGGATCGGTCTTCAGCTTCTCAAGTCTGTTGGCAAATTCACACTCATCAGTGGTTTCTTCAAAGGAAATCTCGAACTTGTCATGAATCCATTGTGGGATTCCTTCTTTGCTCATCTCCTTCATCTTGTCCTCGTTGGCCTTCTTTCTAGCTTCATCTGCCCTTCGTCTTTCAGACCTGTGATGTCCTCCTCTATGGCGCTTGGGTTCCAACTTTCTTGCCTTGGGAGGTTCAGACTCTTCACGGCGCTCAGACTTTGGTGCCATAGTGTCTTCCAAGGTGAACAGCGCTGTGAGTTCAGGTTCAGGTTGATCACCAGTGGCAGCTGCTGCAGGTTGCTCTTGAGTCCAAGCATCAGACTCAACATTGGCAACTTTACGACCTTTACCTTGATCACCTTTACCTTTACCTTTGTCTTGACTTTTCTTGCCTTTTCCTTTGCTCTTGGAGTCATTGGTGTTCTGTTTGTACCAAGACTGCTGATTCCAAGACTGATTGTTCCAAGAACCCTTGTGGTATGAATTGTTTGACCAAGACGAAGACTGACTCTTTCCTTTGTCTTTACCTTTGGACTTACCTTTGCCTTTCCCTTTGTCTTGTTTTCCTTTTCCCTTACCCTTAGCAAGGGAATCCACATCCATGGGAACGGCTCCTGACTTTGCCTCTTTCCTGGTCTCGACATTCTCGAGATAAGCCAGAACTTCAGCTTTCACCTGGTCATACGTGGTCAATCTCGAAGCCTGCAAGTCCAAATGATCTTGCAGCTTGTTGGGACACATTTGCTGCAGACAACTCCTGCAGATGTCGTCTTCAAGTGGTTTCTTCCTCCTGTCTTCATACTTTCTTTTCAAGTTCCCCCAACTCTCAAGCCCTTCTCGAAGCTTATCAAGACTGCATTGACTTGGATGCAGAACCTTTTTCAACAAGGCTGAATTAGCTTGAGGATTTTGAGGATCATATTTGCACAACAGTCGTCTCATGGCTTCTAGGCCAAAGTGGCTACCACGAGATGTGTTCTTGACAATCTCCAACGCTTCTCCCTCAGTCAATGATATGAGGGCTTGTCTAGCCTGAGCTGAAACAAGCTCGGCGCCTTCATCAAAGTCTACTTCTAGACCTGACTCAGTGATCTCTTTGTCACACTGAGATTCAACTTGTGCCACAATCTTCACAGCATTCTTGTGGCAACTTTCAACCCAAGTCTTAAACTTGTACCACCAACTATCCCAAGTGCCTGATGCTCCAGTGAACTTATCAGGTTTTGGTATGCCTTTCAACTCTGATCTGTCTTTGTATTCAACAAATCTCTCAACATTTCTGTTGATCTGAAGCTGCTGGTTCGTAGCCTCGGTCATTGCCTGGCTCAACTGCGCCTGACCCTGAGTCAATTGGGCCATCATCTGCATAACCATCTGGGACATGTTGGGACCGTTGGTCTGTCCTTGTGCTGGTGCTGGTGGAGTGCCTGGTTGCTGATGTGGCTGCCATGCTGAGCCATCCTTAGTGATTCTTCAGGTGCTTTGAGACCTGATTCAAGAGAACCCTTGGATACTGTTGGAGATGCACTCCCAGATTATGGAAGTACCTTTGGATTTTCCTGATTTTCAGGAGCTTGAGTGTCAACCTTTTCCAGTTGGCACGAGGTGAGCGCGCCAGAGCAGAGACAGCTCGGCGTCGACACCTACACATTCACAGCTGGGTATCAGAACCTAAGCTCCGCTACCATGAACAGAGAAATTGGGCTCTTAAATCTGATGAACACTCCTGAGCACTGTTCAGCACCTTTTCACTCAGTTAGCTCGAAGGTAGCTAAAAGCACTGAAATGGCTAAAATGGCTGCAGCACATATACAAACATATGTACTACATGTAACATGGTCTATACTGTACACATATCTGATCAATATTGAATTATATTATATTAAATAATATTATATTTAATTAAATTATATTATAGTATATCATATCATATATTATATTATATTAGAGTATATTATATTGGAGTGTATTTTATTATATTATATTATATCATATTATATTATATTATAGTATTTTATAATCTATTATATTAAATTATATTGTATTATATTATGTTATGTTTTATTATATTATATTGTATGAAAAACATGTTATATTATATTTGAAATAATATTATATTATATTATGTTTGTTTTAAATGGTATTATATTGTATTATATTAACTTATAGTATATTATAGTATAGTCTAGTATAGCATATGATATTATACTATAGTATATATTATCTTATAGTAATTATATTAAATTGTGTTGTATTAAATTGTATTATGTTATATTAAAATGTATTGTAAAATATTTTTACATTGTATTATATTATATTGTAGTACACTATATTTTAATGTATTATATGATATTATATTCAATTATAGCATATTAAATTATAATACTATAATACTATATTAAAGTATATTATATGATATGATATTATATTATTTTATATTGTATTATATTATATTGTATTATATTAAATTATATTTTATGATGTTATATTTTATTATATTGAAATATATTATATGATATGATATGATATTAAATTATATTATTTTATACTATATTAAATTAAATTAAATTATAATATATTATATTAAATTATACTATGTTAAATTATTTTACATATTTATATTATATTATATTAGATTATAATATATTAAATTATATTACATATTTATATTATATTATATTATATTATGTTATATTAAATTAAATTAGATTATTATATATATTATATTATATTTTTAATTGTTGAAGTATTAAATGATTTACGTGATACTATCTATAACATCATATAATGTAATATAATTTACTTTAAAATAAAATGATATCAAATAAAATAATATAATAAAATTTAAAATCATAAATTTTCATGTAATAGAATAATTTATCTAATATAATATTATGTATTTTGTATAATATAATGTATTGTATATAAAATAATATAATGTAATGTATTTTATATAATATAATTAAACACATTTTGTATCATATAATTATCAACCATAATATAATATAATACGATATAGAATATAATATAATACAATAGAATATAATATAATACAGTACAGTAAATTACAGTACAATATAATAAAATTCAATTTAATGCAATATAAAAAAATATATAAATTAAATAATATAATATAATACACAAACTATATTATACATATATATATATATCGTATATATGCATTTAATATACACACACAATATATATATATATATATTATGGTAAACATCTCGTGTAGATGCGGTGACTCGATCAATAGTCCACCAAAATGTGTGTTGAGTTGGAACCAAAACAAATAAATACATACATTAACAAATGAAAATAAATGAATGAATGCATAAATAAAGCCCGGCCTTGATTTCCATAGAAGTAAAGATAAGAATCCCTACTCAGATAAAGAAGTGGACCAAATTGTAGCAAAACATATTGAGGCCTGTGGCGATTGGGAATGTTACTGGGTTTTCTAAGGCTTGACATGACATGGTTGGATAGTGGCGCTGAGAAGTTCGATTACAACCAAATTGGACACATGCTACCATGGCTGTTGCGGGATACAGGGTATTCATGCTATTTGGGGGAGCATCGAAGAAATGAATGGGGCCCACAAGTTTCCACCCAACACCATTGTCAGTTGTATATCCCAAATATTCCCAAATGACCTGGGCGAGGATATTGATGATATTGATTGTGGTGTTGTGGGTACGTTCATGAGTGGTTACATCCAACTTCGTGAATGGCTTCGGTTTTTCCATGGGATGTCCTCATGCTCCAATTGGGCAGCTGCGACCTGGGGACCGGGAACCTATGGGATGGTCATCCCATGGGATTCGCCATATGACCATGGCACAATATGGCGCAAAAGTTGGGACTCAATCATCAAAACCATTGATTTTACCAATAAATCATAAAAATGTGAAAGTTATGGGGAATTGAAAATCATAATCCTGGGTTTTCAGGGGTTCCAACGTGTTTTGAAGGGTTTTGAAGGCGCCCAAGGGCTTCCAAGGGTTCCAAGGGGTTGCAAGGGGTTCCAAGGGGTTCCACAAATGGAATTTGATGATTTCTGTCTGTTGTACGTTTCTGGCCCATTGATGATCTATTGTTAACAGCTGCGAAAATTGGAATCAAGGACAATGGGCATGTGACGATTTCGGAAGAAACATAAAACAATTAAGTACATCAAGGCTATATCAATATAATGATCGACAGCTTGCAGCTAAAGGAATGAAACAACAATTGGCAGTCAACCCGACGTTTTGCAGTTGCTCTAACCCAAGGGCAGCCAGCAAAAACCTGTCTTCGTTTTGTGATTCAATTTTATACCAGTAGTACCGCACAAGGCGGTGGCGGAAGTTTCAAGGATAGGACACTATAGGAGAGGTGAGTTGTTGTGATGCATGGATGGCAGAGCGAATCCACTGATGGACCGAAAGGTGGTTGGAGTTGTGTTTTTTGGAGTGGTTGCAATGGTTGCAGTGGTCACCTCACCACTACTGCTGGATGTAGTGTGGTGTAGTGCAGTTGCAAGTGTAGTTGTAGTTGTAGCGTAATGAAATGGACTTGTAGCTGTAATGTAGTGTAATGTAGTGTAGTGTAGTTGCAGTTGTAGTTGTGGTGTGGTGTAACTAGTGTAGCGTAATGTAGTGTAGTTTAGTGTGGTTGTAGCTGTCGTGTAGTTGTAGTTGTCATTGTAGTTGTAGTTGTAGTGAGTGTAGTGTAGTGTAGTGTGGTGTGGTGTGGTGTAGTGGAGTGGTAGTTGCAGTTGCATTTGCAGCTGTAATGTGGCGTAGTATATTTGCATTTGTACTAGTAGTAGTAGTAGTAGTAGGAGTAGGAGTAGGAGTAGGAGTAGTAGTAGTAGTAGTTGTTGTTGTTGTAGTTGTAGTTGTAGTAGTAGTTGTAGTAGTTGTAGTAGTTGTAGTAGTTGTAGTAGTTGTAGTAGTTGTAGTAGTTGTAGTAGTAGTTGTAGTAGTTGTAGTAGTAGTAGTAGTGTAGGTGGAGTGTAGTGTAGGTGGAGTGTAGTGTAGGTGGAGTGTAGTGTAGGTGGAGTGTAGTGTAGGTGGAGTGTAGTGTAGGTGGAGTGTAGTGTAGGTGGAGTGTAGTGTAGGTGTAGTGTAGTGTAGTCTAGTCTAGTCTAGTGTAGTGGTAGTTGTAGTGGTAGTTGTAGTGGTAGTTGTTGTGGTAGTTGTTGTGGTAGTTGTTGTGGTAGTTGTTGTGGTAGTTGTTGTTGTAGCTGTCTATCTATCTTTCTGTCTATCTGCAAACTTGAAAACGAAGCTATTCTGCGAGACTTCCTCACTTTTTGAACTTGACAACATCAAAAACGAAGCAATTCTGCGAGGCTTTCTCAACTTTTGAACTTGACAACAGAAAAAAAGAACGCAGCAATTCTGCGAGACTTCCTCAATGTTTGAATTTGACAACGTCAAAAACGAAAGAATTCTGCGAGACGTCCTTCAAGAATGGAAAGTTGAATGCAGAGCTGATGGCCTCGTACCAATCCGTTTTGCGATTGTTCCACACCATCTGTCTAAAGTACTGCGCCTGCCACGAAAAAGTGATGCCAAGTCAAACAAAATGCTGCACCTGTCACGCAGAATCATCTTCGCAAACCTGAAGATCTGATGCTCCAAAATGCAACCTCTCTCAGGAAATCAGCGGCCTGACCTCCTAACATCTCTGATGAACATGTCTCTTGTACTGCGCCTGCCACTGCCACATAAAAAACGACGCTTCAACGTCCTGTGCTTCGCGCCACAACGGCGTACACTTTTTGAACATCCCAACTTCCAAAAGTGCTCCGAGGCTGAGGTGTTTTGTACATTTTGACTTCGAAATGTGTTTCGCGCCACAACGGCGTGCACTTTTTCGACATCTCAACATCTCTGCTTTTCATCTGTCCATATTGTCGGAAGTTTGACTTCTAAACTTCCTTCGATTATGTAAATATATGTAGTATTATGTAATGCATTAGTCCTTTTGTAGCTTGGCCATTACAAGAGTGGATGGTTTCTCAAAGGCCTGGAGTTCTCCGGGTCCCAGAAGTACATTGTCACCAAGGTGGAGCCAAACCTCAAACCTGCCCTGGTCAGGCGATATCTATTGACTTTCAACGTCCTTGTGGGATTCTCCGTGTTGAATCTGGGTTTCAGTAGTCATTGAAAACTAAAAGACCCACAAAAACAAAACCTATATAACCTATCCACGAACCATTGCCCATTGATGGATTTTCTTTGGTATCTCCAAAACAAGCTTGGCACATTCTAGCTGGCATGGTCGTGATCCATTTTGTTTCCTTGATTACGTAAGTTGCATCCGCAGTTTTGTGGTTGTGTCCCGAGGCTTCATAATTTGCTTATCCCAATTCACAAGGCCCTGTGTATCCCCAATTCTTGTTGGTTACGTTGCACTTTCACGGCTGTATCCCAACTTCACAGCGGCTGTCCTGAATGGATTACATCCTTGTCTTATCCTCTCTTCGGCATCTCGATGTAATATGATGTAATGTCTTTTATAGATTTTTATAGTTTGTATACTCTTGTCTAGTTATCCCCACTTTGTTACTTTGAATTCCCACCCTTTCTGACTTCCCCAATCTGATGGTTTGCTTGCTGGCTTTAAATCCCCACATTGTGGGCCGTGTATCGTATACAATGTGTTTGTTTCATCTGATTCATGGGGAGCTACATCTGTTGGCCCGAAAATAGTTTATCAAAGTCTGGCCAATTAAAATGTCAATCAATCGGAAGATACTCCACTTCTGGGCAGGCCCAAATCCATCAGTCACAGGTCACATCCCTGTTTCCCATCCCCATGTCCAAGCCATTCCAAGATCCCATGAGGTTTGTCTCGAAATAGGCTAGCCCGAAATCACGTGGTTTTACATGGTTTTACAATCATTAGCCGATTACCCCTATCAAATGGCCACAAATTGCCGGTATAGTCCATTTTCAGACAAACCATATGGCTATGTTAGGCTATGTGACAAGTCAAAACCCCGGTAGCCTTCTGGTAAATGGATGTTCATCCCATGCAAATATTGGTGTGTCTGAAAACGGGGTATCCCCCCAAAATGAACATTACATTAGAATGATGATCATCATGATGATGATGACGACGACAAACTAGCGGCTATTTTCATGGCCTATCCTTCAGACGGGGGTGCCCCCATGTGCACGTGTTTCATCTGTAACTTGATCCATCCCCATATCCCCCATATCCCACGTATCTCCCAAACCCCTCACATGGGATGTCATGGGTCAAAACCCTGGTACCCAGATGGTACCCTAAGTCATAGCTGGTATAGCTGGATGGGTGCTCCGTGTTGTTCCAGTATGCGAATGTCGGTAATGTTTGGACCTATCCCCAGCTATCCCCAGCTATCCCCAGCTATCCTGGCCTTGTGTATGGCCATTTCTGCCGTTTCATCCAACTCGGCGCATTTCGAGGTGGCCGCTGCAGTGGTCCGCCGCGCGTACCTAAGGGAGGTACGATGGTGGCTGATGTGGCCATGGACATGTTCGAAAAGAAACGCGGTTCGAAAATTGGGAATATAGTTCGAACACCTGGCTTCAGCAGCTCAAATGGCTGAGAAAAGTGTTTTTTTAATGGAAAGATATTTGGAAACACCATTGAATAAGTGAAATGCTAGATTACTAGAGGGTGAATGTTGCAAAATGAGGTCAGCATTTCAAAGCTAAAGCCGGAAGTCAGCCTCAGTGATTTACCTGAAATGGTTCGAATTCATGTCTCCATTGAGGTCTTGCGAGACTCCAACTAATATGATTGAGGAGGAAAAACACCCCTATGCAGCATGCCGATCCCGTTTCAAATGTGTGGCAATCTCAGATACACAAATGGTCCATTTCACGCAGAGAATATCAAGTAATTCTCCGGCAAGAAAAACAGCCACTGCTGTACCTTGTCTCTCATCAGTCAAACTGAGCCAGATGGCCAATTCTCGTGGTGCAGTAGTCTGTGCAGCATATCCTTGGATACAAACAATGGGCTCCATCTAAAAATGCAGATTTTTTTCCCTCACAAGTCAATCATTGCAGGAACGGAGACCCCCAACAAGGCAAATTCCATACGGGGCTGGGTCAACTATAGACTAAATGAGTTTGTGACCATCACGGTATGTCAGAAAATCCTGTGCCCTAAAATTTATTAAACGGTATCAGTATCACGGTTGATTATCATTTGAACCTTTAAATATTATTAAATATTGCAGTACAAGGCGTATCCAACTCATTTCAGGACAAATTTGAAGAATTACCAGCCATGTGCGGTCAGAGTGGCTAGCATGACGAGGAGAATCTAAAACGGCTATTGATCTTGACAAAAAATAGGGTTTCTTGTTTCAAAACATACAATAAAAATGATAATTGCAATTACAGTGGGAATTTCATGAAAACCAATCGCAATAATGACTATAATAGACTATAATGATACAGTTAAACTCAGTAGCAATAATGCAGTAATATATAAACGGTATAAGTTGTAATAAACATCATCAACCCTCTCCTCCCTGCGCAGCATCCGTCAGTGGCTCCGGTGGGGGTTGGATCTTGGTGATGGATTCCACTCCTGGCAGGATCAAAAAACGGATGGAAATCTGCTGTGGTAAGAGTCAAGCTGCAGGTTGGGAGACGGTTGATGCAGGTAATAAAGGTTGATTACTATGGTTTATGTATGGTTTATGTATGGTTTATGTATGGTTTATGTTGTTTCTGGATATTTTGTGGAACATTCGTGGGGAAAAAAGGGGACAAAGGATGTAAAGGGTAAATTCATTCCTTCTTGTTTCAGCGGAAGGAGGTTTACTCTGAATTTGAAAAATCGGAATTGCAATGATTATGAAATTTGACAAAGGGTTGCCATCATGAAACTTCTCAGAGATGGGACTTTGTCACCTGCCGATCTTTATCCTCAGTGCTTAGTGAGACAAATTTTTGTTTGTCGTTTGAACAATTTCAACAAAAAAAACATATTCACCAATATCTAAAGGGAAACAAATTTGCTATGATCCATGAGCTGGACTCCCAATTAACATCAATTAACCAACCATGATTTTTTGGAATTTTAACCATATTTTAACCTAAGGAATGAGCCTTGGTAAAACACGTCAGGAATTTTTTCCAGCGTCCAGTAGGATCGGTGAATCCCATGCCACGGATCGGTCGAAACTCCGAAAGTATCGGATGGCATTGATGTCCCTTGATGTCCCTCCGAAATGCTTGCCGTTTGCCCCAAAAATCCCTCCGAAACATTGATGCAATCATCTTTCCTCTGTTTGTGGGGAACATTTTGTTCGATTTCAGTGGGGTGAAACCCGACCAAAACCATTGTACCTGTTGGCACGTCCCCCTTTCAAAACCTGTCGCCTGGACAATCAGTTTTGTCACGACCAATCATTCAACAGCTGGGGTACTGCCCCAACGGGCACGCCTTGTTCGCGTATGTCACGATCGCCTCAGACATTTTGCGGGCGTGACCTGGATACAAGTGATTACGTTTTGAAGTCAAACGAATTGCATCATTTGTTTTTTTCATGTTATCGGTGTGAAAACGTGTCACACGCCCAATCATCTTGCCCATACATGAAATGTCAGCATGTTCAATCGCAAAAAACAAAAGAAAAAACACACAGGTTCCTCAGTGGCCCCAATAACCCCAACCGCCATCCCCGCAATTCCCAAGCCGAGACACCATTTAAAAGCCTTGGCGGCTGAATATCCAAATTGAAATTGAAACATCAGAATGATAACATCAACTACCCGTTGCAATCCATGATTTTTTTTACGATCAAAAAAATCACGTTCAAAACAATGTCAATAGCCTTTTTTTCAAATGGCAAAGTGCACAAAGGGTCAAAATATGTCAAAATGATCCAATGAATCCAATGGATTGCGACCACCTTGGGAATGGCACTGTTTTTCCAACAGTTGCACCGTCGCCGGCACTGGCCTCAGCAAAAATTATCCAGTGGGAAGAGGAAATCTGAGAAATTTTGCGCAACACAAGGGCATGGACATGGAATGGTTTCAGTATGTTTCAGTGGAAACCAACGTGCCACAGTGATTTGATTTGAGCACAACTGGAGACTGAATCCGAGTTGCAAACCACTGAACATTTTTGGACGGAGGGAGTTGCGACACGGTGACAGCTCACATGTCTCAAAATGCAGTTGAAATGCTTCACTGCAGCAATGCGGGCGGCCAATTGCGCATTGCGATCCGCCATGGGAATGTTTGAAGTTTCGGAGACGGATTTTAGTAAAGACCCAGCGTGTCAAAAATGACAAAATTCAACATATTTTTGGTTCTTGCTTGCAAAATGGGATCAACAACGTAATCAAAAGTTCCTCAATTGATGGAATTCATGTTTGATAAGATGTTCCGTGATTTTGTCTGAGCATCGGCCAACGCACGTTTGCGAAACTGTTGAATGCAATTGAATTTTCCAATGTGGAAAAAACGATTGGCCGTCACCAACTGGAAACAATGTTTTTATATGACAATTGTTATGAATTGTTTGCTTATCCAGGCATTTGTGTCATGTGGTAAGTTGCGACCTGACAACATGCATGAAATCTTTCAATTCCGCCGGTGTGAACCGCACGTTTCGCAGCATCATGTTTTCATGGCTGGATTGAACTGTCAAGATTTGGAAAACATTATGTCAAAAAACATCCAGCAAATAATTCGCCAAGATGCCGAACGTAGAACTTCAACCACCCGTATACTTTGATTGGGCCTTCCACGACCGAAGACGACATTTGGAGAATTGGCGGGCCCACAAGGCAGCCGAATTAACTGGTCAAATTTGCTCAAAAGTGTTCGCCATGTTTTCCTCGTAAAATTTTGATTTCCGGGCATGTGGATGGAAAGTCTGAAAAACAGGCAACGTACTCACACCTCAGATTTTCCACTGCACTTTGAGCCACTTGTTGGGCCACGGGCAAGCACAGATTTGTGCGTGTCATCCTTGCACCAAGAGACAGGTCATGCTAATCTTCTCTGTATCGTTTCAACTGCCTACAACCTAACACATGGGTGTGAGTGCCATGACTGAAGTTTGACACCCCACCTTGGCAACATGTTCCTTCAGAACTTGTTGTCATCCTTGAAACTTCCATGCAAATTATGGCTGTATTTCAGCCAACTGTGCCATTAAATTCAGCTCTCATCCTAGGTTTCCAAGGCCGCTGAAAAAAATCTGTCTCTCACTTGGTTGAATTCGTTCGCCTGGGCTGTAGCAAACATTCCATTGCCTCATGCTTTGATTGCCTGCCACATGCCTTCAGGCTATATCACGTAGGGTCTCGATTTCCTGCATCGCTCGTGTGAATGTCGCAGCAGCTTCCCAATCTCCTTGTTCTTCAGTTTGAGCTCGTCGACTCTGCAATGAAGCCAGCGCATTCTGAAGTCGAAGTTGGTTGGCCTGAGAAAAGGCCAGCATTCGGTCATGATCATATTCATCTCTATCTCCAAAGTGGATTGCTGCCCACTCATCTGGGTCGGAAACCTCTCCTTGATCTGACTCCAAATAGCGTCTCCTGCGATCTTCTTGGGTTTCTTCATCCATATTGATGTCCTCGTCCAACTCAGACTCACGAGCTGCACGGTCAACATGATGACCATTGAGATTTGCTACGTGTTGCAACGCAGCTTCAGCTAGATCCACATTCTCAAAGAGTTGAGGCTCAGGTTGGGCTTCCACATATGGTTCCTCCAATGCTGCAAGCGCTCCAACTGGATACTGGCCACCAGTCAGATATTCGTCCAAGCTTTCGTAGACACCCTCCATGTCGGTCATGAAGTCACCTTGCTGATTGGATTCCCTGAACCTGTCGTGCAAATAACAGATTTCTCGGCGAAGCATCCACCAGGCTAGCCACAAACTTGGTTTGATAAGCAATCGAAACCTGCAAGCCATCAATGCCGGAGCATGGCGAATTGTCACCATCCGCATCCATTCGTAGTGCTTCCAAATCAAAGGTCCTGATAGGAGAAATACCACTCCAGCAACCAATGAAAACATTCCCATGATCTGCGCCACCAGGAAGACAAACTTCATGAAGTAGTAGGTGCAGCCGGCACTTGCAGCAACTGTCCATTCTGCCAGTGTCCACAAAACCAGTTGCACGCCATCGCTGTTGGTTTCGTCCATGTCTCCACCTGCCACAGATCCATGTTGGAAAGAGAAATCACTGTTGCAACCTTTCAACTGCATGCACATGTTCATGCTTGCACCAGCCATTTGAATGAGTCTCATGCACTGTTCCATAGTAACCCTATTGATTCGTCTGATACGTCTGATTTCACTGTCCTCGTTTGTTTCATTGTCACTTGGAGAAAAGAGTCCAATGAGTTTTCCCAAGAACTTTCTGCGTTCTCCACTGAGACGTTTCGTGTTGAGATCTACAGGGTTGATTTTGGTATTGATTTTGAAAATCGAAAATACACCAATCCGCAGCAAATTTTGCAAATAAAACTGCTTGATCTGGATGTGCTTCAATCTCCCTGTTCCAGTTCTGCGGATCAATGCTAAGGCCGAAGACGAATCCATGAAAAGCCTTTGTTGAACCACCTCATTACTTGCTTCACTTTCATCACCAGCTAGGAACTTGCACAAACGGAATAAAAGGATACATTCCACCATCAATCCATTTGCAGCGTAAAGTTCAGCTTCACAGCTTGAAAGTGCCACTGAAGCTTGAGTCCTGCATATGCTTGTAAGCAGGGCTCCATTCAAGAAAATGAGGCCAGAGCTTGTGCTCCGTCTTGTTGTTCGGCAATCAGCCCACGAGCTGTCACTGAAAGCTTCCAGAGTAAAACGACCTTCTGTTGACCATTCTGGGATTGTTGCTTCATTTTGGATCAGGTCGTCATTCCTCCAGAAATCACTCACAGTCTTTCCTTCCTCTGTTGTTTTCAAAAGAATTCCACTGTCAGGCGTCCCATCAAGATAGGAAGTCAGGTGTTTCAGTGCTGCCATTGCCTTTGTGCTTGGTTTCGACATGTATGATGACAGAGTCTTTACTGCAAATTGGATATCCGGTCTGTCCATCGCAATGTACAATACCAACCCAAGACCAGATCGGAATAATGCAGCCTGCTCGTTGTCCAATGTCTTTGATTCAATCACAAAGTCAGCACTGTAAGCTTCCAATGTTGCATGGTATGGGAGGCCCTTCTTGCGTCTTGCGCTCACCTTCATCATTGAAACCAGCTTTGGAACATACATCGCATTTGGTTGTATGAGGATTCCATCATCTCTCATAGTAATCCTCTTTTTCAAATACATGAGTTGCTCTCCACTGGCCGGAAAATGGGGCCCATCGACTTTCATCTTCAATGTAGCTCCAATTGTGCTTTTGAACCATTCTACATCATCTGGCAAACATGCTAGGAGAATGTCGTCCACATGGATATTCACAAAGATTTTGTTGTTCAAGTCCTTGTGTCGCATCACTGTTGGTGATCCAGGGATTGATACCAATCCTGCGTTTTCACATATGGAGGCAAAGTGTTGATGCCATTTCAATGCTGCATTTCGTTGACCTGGAAGACAACGAAGCAAACGCCAGTGAGTATCAGGTTTACCTGTCAAATCACGAACCCACTGAGGAATTTCAACATACATCTCATCTGTTTGAGGCACCATCAAAAATGCATCCGAAATGTCAAGTGAAGTCACCGAGAGGTTGTAAATCAACGCAAAGACCAGCAACATCCTCACTGCAGAAAAAGCTGATGTAGGGGCAAAGCTATTTTCATCAGTGGCTGAGGTTTTGAATTCTCGAGCCACTACTCGGCACCTTCTGATCCAAGCATTGCCTCTGAAACGCCAGTCAAATACCAACGTTGTATCAACTGTATTTTCTTGTGCAGCCTCTTCTGGAGAAAGGGTAACAGGTCTGATGACCTCCATGCGATGCAACTTTTCAAGTTCATCAAGGATTGCACGTTCATCAAGCTCTTGGAGTTTCTCGGGGCTCACGTCTGGTGGGCCTTCTCCTTCACCATGTTGTGCTATGTATTCATCCTCAAGGTCAGGATGTTGAAAACCATTCTCCAAATCACCTGTGAATTCATCCATCTCATCGTTGTGACAAATCTCAATGTCTGCCACTTGGTTCACCTTGCTTTCAAGCTTGGCCGCCTTGCTCTTTGGAACAATAGCTGGATCATCATCCATCTTTTGCATCTTGGCATGCTCGTCAGTCAAAGGAGTGCTGGAGGGATGTTTGCAAGAACCAGAGGGGATTTCTGCATCTTCATCGCTGTCTGCAACCGGAGTGACTGGGGCTTTCAACATGCTTGGTGACACAGCCCCACCTTCCTCAAACATCTCTTGTTGTCCATCTGTATCTGAAACATCATCCAATCCAACGTTCTCCCAAGCATTCACCTGTGCCAAACCATGTTGTTGTTGTTGAGCAACATCACCATCGTCAAGAGCTTCTGAAGCAGAGTACCCATCTGACAGAACTTGGTCACGCACTGCTTCAGCTTCTTCATCTATCTCCTGTGGTATTGGACCTTTCAAAGCGATGATCTTCTGTTTGGCTCTCACCGCTGGTTTGTGTCCGAAGAAGTCCAAAGGTCCATCAGTAAGGCCAAGGATGAGTTCAGCATCCCATTGATTGTTGATCTTTCTAACAGCTTTTGTTCGAATGACACACTGCCCTTCTGTCCAAAGAAGATCCATTCCAGTTGTTTCTTCCTTTCCTAACCAAGCTCCCTTCTTCCATGCCGGTTTGTACTTCGATGATTTGGGGTCAAGGCCATACACAGTCTGACCAAAACATGCCACCTTTCCATGGTACGGTCGGCCTCGAAGGGATTGGTGTGGTGTCACCTTCATGGTGGAGTGAACTTGGTAATGGTTGTAGAGCCAAGCCGCATGCATTGCCGCCCATTGCACTATTGGATGCCCATCTGGGACCACAACTTTCATCTCACCTTCAAGTTGACAAATCAGGGTTTCCTGGATACCCCTGACAGTTTGAACAAATCTTTCAGCCATACTCGTCCTGGATTTGTCACCAACCTTGTTCGCAGTAAGATGTGTTGTAAGTTCAGATTTTGCCCTTACTGATTTGCAAAAGTTGGCACCGGCCACCAAAACAGGCTCGTTGTCAAACGCCAGTTCAACTGTCCCATCTCTGACACTGCCAATAAAGGTTACCAAAGCACGGCCAACTGTCTGCGCATTGCGTTGCTTCAGAGGGGCAACTGCAGCATATCTCGACCAAACATCCACCATGA